TTATTTGGACTGATTTTTTAAAAATTAGTTTACCTTTTCTTATACTAGTTTAGAAATTATACATCTGTTTCTATTCTTTAAATGGTTACTTTACATTTTAACCTATGCCCTTAAGTCATGAAAATTTGATTTTGATTCTTTACTTTCCTAACACACAATGCAAGTTAGTCCCTTGGGACTTTCCCTCTACCTTCCTTCTAGAATGATATTCTATTGTTGTGTATTTAAAAAATAACAATATCTCATAACATATTAAAATATAGGTATTTTAAAATTTCACAAGATATATTCAATTAACGTTCACTAAGAATTATCCACATGTTGACTACTTTTTTTGTCCTTTATTCCTTCTTGCATCTGGGAATATTTCATTCTGATAAAGTACATTCTTCAAAACTTCTGGTGTGGCTCAGTGGATGGAATGCCAACCTGTAAAGCAAAGGGTCATTGGTTTGATTCCCAGTCAGAGCACATGCCTGGGTTATGGGCCAGGTCCCCAGTAGGGGGCGTATAAGATGCAACCATACATTGATATTTCTCTCTCTCTTTTTTAATCCCTCCCTTACCCTCCCTCTAAATATAAAAATATATAAAATCTTTTTAAAAAAACTCCTACTGCAGGTCTACTATTGGTAAGCTCTCTCGATTTTAATTTTTTCCTTTCATTATTGAAGGGTTTTTGTTTTCATAGAAGTCTAGATAACAGTAGTTTTCTTTCAGCTCATTCAGTATAGTATCCCAGTGCCTTCTAACTTTAACTGCTTCTGCCGCCTATTGGTGTGATTACTGCTTTGAAGGTAATTTGCTTTTCTTTTCTGTCTGTGTTTAGAATTTTTCTATGTTTTTGGTGTTCTTCAGTTTTACTTTAATGTGTCTAGGTGCTTGAATCCATTGATTCATAACTATACCAATTTTGAAAAAAAATTATCCACTTTGTCTTGAAATATTCCTTTTGTTCCCCATCCCCTCAGAACCTGATCAAGTAGATATTAGGATTTCTCAATTGTATCCTGTAAATTTCTCACCCTATCTTTTGTCTTTTCTAGCTTAGAAAAGTTTCTTTAGGCTCTATTTTACAGACTTTTTTTCCTCTCATCTGTTTTCTATTGACAATCTCTTCAGTTATCTTGGGTTTAAGCCACACTTTGTGGTCTTAATTTTGACTGTTTAATTTTTTTAGTTCTTGCAGTTTTATTTGGTTCTTTTTATAGATATTTGTTTTATTAAATTTCATGCTTATTTGTTTTCTGTATTTTAAGGTTTTCTTTTATTTCTTTAAACATAATAAGCATGATTTTGGTGCTGTGTCTGATCATTTTAACAGCTGAAGTCTTTGTGGATTTTTTTCTGTATTATCTTTGTTTTATCGGTTCTTACTCTTAGTGTCTTATTTCTACATGTGTCTGGTGATCCTATCATCATGGATTGGTTGTCTATATCTTTAGTGACTGAATAAATGACTACCCTTTTACTCTCTTGAAAAAAATTTTATCCTGAGGCCACAGAATGATAAACAGTGTGGAAGGAGAAAGGTTGAAGGCTGGTTCCCACATCCCAGAATGTCTTTGTCCGGTGATGGCCCTCTGTGGAATGCCTCTGCCTCTTAGTCTGGCTCAGCCTCAGTGTGTGCTGGCCACCCAGGCCTGATTGTTGTCTCTGCTTCTCTGGTTTGCCCAGTAGGGTTTGCACCCTGACCCTCCACTACTCTCACTGTCTTCTGGGGACACAGTGAGTGGTGCCAGATTGCATCTGTGGCTCCCGTCCCTGTTCCTCACCACCCCTCACATCTCCGTTCCCTCCTTAGTCCCACCTTTAAACGTTGAAATGTGCGGATCTCTCAGACGTGTTTGTGTATTGAGCGGAGAATTCTTTGTTGAATTATAGCTGTCCAACTTGTAACTGCAAGGGGAGGGACCTTGAGGTCCTCTCATGTTGCCATGCTACTGACATCGACCTCTAATATGATTTCATTTGTAGCAACATTTATCTGTTACATTTATTTGAAACTCATAAAATTAAGATAAAAACACTGCTCGTTTGATCTAATTCAGCTGTATCACCTTGTCTTTCTTTACAATGCTGTCATTTTCTGATCACCTGGTCAACCTTGCCCTTTTATTAAACTCGAGAATATGGTTTGCTTTCTCTTCAAAGTGCAAGGAATTATTCTGAACGATATTAACACCATGTGCATGATGGATTGGACAGGGTCAGCCTCAGAGCTTCTTGGCCTCCCCATTTTCCATGATCCTACAGCTTATCCAGACACTTCCACAGCCACCCACTGGGGACTGTTACCACTAGTTCATTAGTTTTCCAGGGCTTTCATAACAAAATACCACAGTCTGGGTAACTTAAAAAATAGAAATTTATTTTTCATGGTTCTTTAGGCAGAATCAAGGGCTGATAGGTTTACTTTCTTCTGAGGTGTTTCTTCTTCTCTTGTAGATAGTACCTTCTCACTATGTTTTCACATGGTCATTCCTTTTTGTCCTAATTACCTCTTCTTATGATGACACCTGTCACATTGGATTAGAGCTCACCCTACTGACCCTATTTTAACATTATTACCTGCTTAAAGGCCCCATCTTCAAACACTGTCACGTTTTGAGAGCTAGGGGTTAGGGCTCCTATGTATGAATTTTGTGGGGTGACATACTTCTGACCACAACAACTTGTAAGAACTCAATCTTAAATGTCAAATATTTAAATATCTCACATTCTGACCTCAGCCTCTCTCCCTTCCACACTGTTCAGTTGGCTATCCCTGTTCTACTTTTTCCCTGGTGTTACAGGAACCTCTTGTTCATTTACCATGTTTTCTCTAACCCGTTAGTTCATTCTTGTCCTAACTTCCTTCCATGTCCAACTCAAATTTCATGATTATTCATTTCAATAAGGATAAATAAAATTCTTCCAAAGCCTTGATCTTCTTGTACCTCTGTCTTTTCTACATACCTATATGGCAGAAATTTAACTCTGAGTGCCTCCCGTTGATATGTATTTACATGTAGTGACCAGGCCAGGACATCTGGAGATACTTGTGCATCAGGGAAGATAGGTCCTTCAGAATTGAGTGATTCATATGGCCTTAAAACAGTCCATGGGATGGGTAGAAATCCTATATCAACTTCATCTCTCACCCATAATGGCCATTTTAAAACTTCTCTCCACAAAACTTCAAGCTTCCCATGATCACTTTCTCTCATTCTCAGCATTCCTTATTTCAGAGGAAAACTAGGAGTCCTTAGATAGGGACTCCTTCACCCTCCTCCTACCAAATGTAAAGTCCTGTTACCTCTGCACCCACCTGCTTCTCTTGCCTCTTTTTCCATAGATAAACTTTCTTCCTTCCTACTTGAGGCCTCTTCTGCCTCTTGACCTTTGGATTCTACTCTTTTCTACTTTATTTTCAAGATTTCACACTATGTATTTTATTTTCCCTCATATAAATTTAACCTCATCTGTTTACTGGACATTTCTATCAGTATTTAAATATGTTCACATATCTCCCACTTAAAAAAATATATTTTTTGACATCAGGTTCTCCTCCAACTACTGCTGTATCTTTTGTCTCCAGTTTTTCTCATGAGGATTGATAATTCTCACAAATTTTATTTCTTTACATCCCACTGTCTCCTTTACACTCTCTTACCAGTATCTAGTCTCACTATTCCACTAAGTCAACTTTTCTAAAGACACTAATGATATCCACTTAATGTTTTTCTTTCCTTTCATGATCTCTTAGCCTCATTTGATCCCGCTGACCCTTATTTCCTCTTTGAACTACCATCTCCCTTTGATTTTTGTGACATTTTGTCCTCATGGTTCTCTCTCCTGCATCTTGTCATTATTTTATCTCAGTCTCTGTCACACAGCCATTGAGTGTTATTTCCTTAAGGCTCTGTCCCAATCTGTCCTCTCACTCTGTTCTCCTGACCTAGATGATACCATCCAAGCCTACAACTTCCTTATGAGCCCAGTGTGCTTCAGGATACTTGCACATGGTATTTCCTTTACATAGCATCTTCCCTCAGACCCTCCCTTAACTCATTGTGTAATTGTTCACTACTCATCCCTCACCAGAAGCATAGGTGCCACCTTCTCAGGAAGCTTTGCACAACCTTCTAGCTCTTGTGGCACCTCTGCAGCACTTGCTGCGGTTATAATTTATTTCTATGCAGTTATAGATTTAGTTCTATGATTTTTTAAATGATAGGCTCTCCCATTAGAGGGAAGCTCTGTAGTGGCAGAGACTGTACCTCTTCTTATTATAATTTTACCCCTACCACTTTACAAAATGCTGAGTACATCGTAGATGTATAATAAATAACTGTGGAATAAAATAACCAAATAAATAAACATTTTGAGCAAAGTGTCTATGCAATATCAAGATGTGGATTTGTCATATGTGATTAAATACATGATTTTGGAGCTCAAGAGAGAGGTCAGGGCTAGAGAGAATAATTTGGAATTTAGTTGCCTGTCAATGGTAATGAAGCCTTGAGTTGGCTATAAGATTTTCCAGGGAATATTTTTGAAGAGAGGAGAAATGGAAGAGGACAAAAACCTTGGAATATTCATATTTAATGAACTCTAGCCAATAGAGAATGATCCATCAGAGGAAGCTGGGACTCTTGCCACACATTGCAGATTTTCCCTTGGCAGTCCCAATTATAATAGTCTGCTCTTTAGGCCAACATGTTTCACAACCACGTTTTTGGCTCAAAAAATATGTATGACATCTACAAGGGAAAAAAAATCTAAATCTAATTTTGATACCTTATTAATTATAGTAATATATAATTAGTATTAATGGTTGTTAATAGTGATTAATAAGATTGGCTTATGAATAAGAATTACAATAAGGAATTAAGTATCCTTCAAAAATGGTTAGTATACATAAGCAATTATATTTTCCCTGGTTTGTAATATTTTTGAACTGTGCTTCTAAAAGTTTGCCTAAGTATAAATAATATGTTTAATTTTTTTTTTTTTAGCCTGATAGTACTTTACTGATTATCTGTGAGAATGGCCATGTTCTTGAAGCTCCATTTCCAACCATAAAAGAGGAAGTGGAGGACCAAGATGTAGTTTCCTATGAAATCAAAGACATGTGCATAAAATGTTTCCATTTCTCAAGTGTCAAATCTAAGATTCTGGTATGAGATATTCTTGAATCATTATCTCCTAATATATTTTTTCTTTCTTAATATATAAAATATCCTGTGCTAAGTGCTGGGAAAATACAAAGAAGAGTAAGACATAGACCCTGTATTTGAAGGCAGTAGTGAATGGATATGAAAATCACAGTGCAAAGAAATGGATTTTAGGGGCATGCAGAAAAAACAATATAAGTTCTGATGAGAGGAGGTCAAAGACAACTGTATGGAGGCGACATTCAATACTAAAAGAATGAGAAGAATTTTGAAGGGTTAGAAATGAGGAAGACGGCAATAAAAGCTGGGAGAACATTCTGAGAGAAGGCAGACTTGTTTTTGGTGTTTGGGGGAATGAAGAATACACTGGTGAAACAGGGATGCAGTTTGTGGTGGGATGTGGCAAGAGTCTGTGGCCAACACACGGGACTCCTTAAATTCTAGCAAAGATGTTTCGGTTGTTTCAATTTATTTCTTAGACTGTTGGGATCCATTGTGAGTTTTTAGGAGGGGATTGATGCGATGAGATATGTAATTTAGGAAGACAATCCTGAGAGATAAACAGAATAAAGAGGTAAAAGATGGGCGTTAGGGATGCCAGTGCTGGGGGCTAGTTGATAGATGCTGAGGGTCTAAATTACAGTTTTACTAAAAATAGAAACAACATCCTTTCATAGACTGTTTCAGTGCACCTAATTTATGGGCCGACAGGGATAGACTGAGAGAAACCGTATTTAGCTTCTTTATTGGGGAAAAAGTGATAAAATAATTTCTGTAAAACCAGGATCAATGTGGGATAATACAGAAATGAAGTTATTCCAAAGATTTGAAAAATTTAATGATAAAAATATATGGCCAAATTGATAATTATTTTTAAATGATATTACTTGTTACATCAGAGCTGTGAGTTTTTCTAGGACTCTATATTTCTTTTACTTTTTTTGTCATCCAGAATAGTGTAAATGAATGAATTACAATTGTTTCGCATCTCTTTAATGTCTCTTTTGCAAAAGAGATTAATAGAAATTGAAAAGAGAAAGAGAGAGAAGGAGCTGAAGGAGAAGGAAAAGGAAGAAAGGAGGAAGCAGTTAGCAGCAGAGATGGGGAAAGAAGGAGAAAAGGAATCCCAGGAGGAGGAGCAGAAGGAGGAGGAAGAGGAAGAGAAGCCGTTACCTGAAATCTTCATTCCATCAACCCCCTGTCACATCCTCTGTGGATTTTACTCTGGGCCAGGGAAGTTCTGGGTTTCTTTGGTGAGTACTAATGTAATAAATAATTTTTATGTCATCCCTAAATTAATATATTTGATAGTCATTATTTTCCAGTACATTTTTACTTTCTCACTCTTGTGGTAAGACTTCATTTATTAACTACTATTAAAGGTATGGATTTTGAAGAATGTGCTACAGTTTTTTCTTTTTTAAAGATCATCTTAATATATCTCCTATAGGTCTACTTGTTATATCTGTTGTCATCTAGGACAGTCATGCATGTTCCAGGAGGTCAAAGGGGAGAAGAATTGAAGTTAGAAGGTCAAAGGGTTAGGAGGTTTTCCAAATGAGTCAGTGTTTTTAAATTTTGAAAATAATTAGCTTTTTGAAACTAATGACAGTGCTATCCAGTAGACATTTGCTTACATTTTCCTAACTACAACTTTGCTGTGTAAACATATGGAAGCCTGAGAAGGTGACTATTTTTGAACGGGCACAATGCCGCCCTGAACAAAACTGGAACTTGGGTAATAAAGAAGAGTAGAAAAATGGATATTGGGGAAACAAGTACCAGGGACTGTCACAATGATGTGAAAATTAAATCCTCTTAGGTATTCTATTTTTATAAAACATTTTATCACTCTATCACAAAGCAAGATTTCCTTCATTATAAATTTGTCACAAATTTCAAAAAATTTCACTCTTTTTCGTAAAATTTTATTTTTAAATCATGTTTATTCTATTACAGTTGTCTCAATTTCCTTCCCCTTTGCCCTGCGCCACAACAGAGTGGGAATTGACTGTATTTTTCACTTTTGACTGGTTCTTTTTTATGTTTTAAATATCTATTTTTTATGTTTCCTGTCTCTTCGTTCTTACTAAATTCATCTACTCTTCTCCTAAGTTCTTTGAGCATCCTTATAACCAGCGTTTTGAACTCTGTATCTGGTAGATCGCTCGTCTCCATTTTATTTAAAAATAACAGGTAGTTTTGTTGTTATTTCATATGGGATGCTTATTTTTTTTTGTCTCCTCATTTTGGCTGCCTCCCTGTGTTTGTTGCCATGCATTAGGTAGAGCTGCTACGCCTCTCGGCGTTGGTGGAGTGGTCTTACGTAGCAGGTGCCCCATGGGCCCAGGGGCGCAGCCTCCCTGGTCTCAAGGACTGGGAGTGTCAGGTTTGCCCCTGTGTGAGCTGTGTGCCACCTTCCCTTTGTAGTTGAGCCGTGATTGCTTTTGGCACATCAGTGGTAGAGATTTACCCCATCCTTTTGAAAACACTTTATTTTTCTGGTTTGAAAGTCACCACATACTACTGGCCACTTTTTAGCTAAATCTGTTGGTTTCTCATTTGCTGAACAAGGTTTGAGATTTGAAGTACTCTAGGATGTGGTCTTGGACCCCTTCCTTCTTGCTAGGTGATTTCATCTAGTCCCATGGCCTTAACTATCAATTATATGCCAATGAATATCAATTTTTTGTCTCTATTCTTGACCTCTCCTCTTATATTCAGACTTGTATACCTACCTAACTTGACATCTCTTGTTGGCACCACAAAATTAACATATTCAAAATATAGCTTTTAAACCACATTTGCTTCATGCAAATCCGCTACATCTCTATCTCAGTAAATGCGACAAACATCCACCCAGATACTAAAACAAAACTCAGAGTTATTAATGGTTGTTCTTATCTCTTTGCCTTTGATATTCTTATATTCAAAGTATGTCTCTTTAAAGCAGCATGCAGTTAGACTTCTTTTTTTTAATCCTGTAGGTTGATCTTTGTCTTTATTTTAATAGAGTACAATGTCCAATTATGTTTAATGTCATTACTAATATATTTTAGATCAAGTCCACCATATTAACTATTTCTATTCATCACACCAATTCTATGCTCCCTTTTCACCTTCTATTAGATGATTAAGTATTTTCCTTCATTTTTCTCCTCTATTAGGCTATTAGTTATACGCTCTTTTACTATTTACTTAGAGGTAATCCTAAAGACCATAATATGTATCCTTAACCTCATAATGTAAATTTATTCTTATACTGGTTCCAGAGGAAAAAGATCTTAGGGTACTTCATTCCATGTATCTTCCCTCATTGCCATTTATTGTATTGTCATACATATATTTGTGTCCCCAAAAGGCATTTTACTATTGTTTTATATTCTTGGTAGTATTTTGGTATATTCTTTTTCTTGCTGTTATTCCTTCCTATATCTTTGTAATTACACCTTCTGCCTAAAAAATAGCCTTTGACATTTTCTTTAGTGTAGGGTGTGCTGGTGACAAATTCTCTGGTGTTTGTCATGACCTATAAAATTCTGTTATTACATACTGCTTATTCAGGGTAATATTTAAAATGGCATTCAGTACATAGTCAGAGATGAGAACTCTATTCTATTACCTTTAAGTGGAAACAAATTATATGTTTTATCATTATAATTGTATAGTTGCATATAAATGGAAAATGGAGATGTTTTATAAAACCTATCTATAATCATAGATATCATATAAAGGAGATATTTTAAGACATCTATTTTGTGTTTATGAGAAATAATCAAAAACTTCTCATGTGGTCATATGTGTCTCATATTAAAATACTACCTTCTATGTTACTTATCTCTTTTCTAGGGTGGCTATGATGCTGGTATTCTATATCACTGTGAGTTTCCTCCATATGACAAAAACAGTGATATCACAGAAAAGAAAGATGAGCCCTTTGATTTCCGTTTTCTTGAGGATGCAGAAGATAATCCCATCCAAACCATCACTTTCAGGTGAACAGAATTTCAGAAAGCTTTAAAAAACTATAACCCATTGCTGTCTGTGGTTTTCTCCATAATGAATATTGTGAATTTTTAAAGATCTGTCCTAATGGAGGGGCACTCAAACAATGTTAAATAAATCAAAGGAAGAAATAGAATCAAAGTGAATCCTGAAAGTGTATTTCAATCCCTTCTATCAAATATTCTGCCAATAGTTCTTTCTATCACACAACTGAATTGTATAGATTTATTCTGTGTTGTTTAGGAGGAGGCTGCTGCTTGGTCAGATAATGTAGCTTCAGGGGTATGATTCTGGAGAAATCACAAATTAAATTATTACTCCTTAATAATTAGGAATGAAGCATATATGCCAGTCATGCTTTTGGAGACCAAATGCAATAGCTCCAACTTCCAAAGTGGCTCCCCACCACATTTATCCTTTTGTATTAGTTTGCTGGAGCTTCCATGGTTAATTAGGGCTTCAACATGTGAATTTTGAGGGGGACATAATTTAGTCCATAATATCTTTGTTACTAAATATTTACTCATTTGTCAATCAATTTAAAATTAAACATTTTCAGATTAATATAAAGAACAATTTACTTTCTTTTTGTTTCATAGTTTTAACAAAGATATGATGTTTTGTGGAATGCAAGATGGAGCAATTCGAATCTATATCCTAAGTCAGAATGACTCATCATTGACCAGTATGGAAAACTACTGGCACTTTAATATCCATGACAATAATTATGGATGTATTAAAGGCATTTCTACTAGCTATGATGACCGATTTTTGGTGACTGTTGGAGCAGATGGTAATATCTTTGTTTTCAGCATTTTTTCTGTATTTGAGTTAAGGAAAAGCATGAAAGCCAAAGTGCCATCTCCCAGGGTATGTAACTAACAACAAAAAACCCTTTATTTTAAGATAGGAGTGCTAAAATTGTTCATGTTCTTTAAAATTTGAAAACTGCTTAGACACATTAATCTTACAGATTAATCTTTCTACTAGTATTATGATCTTGACTTTCTGATGCTTCTTTTTGAAATATTAAAGATGTTGAATTCCCCTTACTTATAAAGGTATAGAATCCCCCAAATTAAAAAAAATGGTGTTAATTTTCTGTATCAATCACTTAAAGTTTGTTTTCAAAATGCATACTTTTTCATGTACATATAGCTCTTTATTTACTCATTCATCAAAGGGGCGTATTTGAGATGTACACTATAAGTTTGCCTTTGAAAGGGGTTGTAAAAATATTATTGTCTGTGGCATTAGCATATGACAGTGTGGGTCATGAAGGTCCAGTTAAATTATTCTCTTTTTATGGTGAACACATTATTCGCTTTTAGTAAAGACTGAGTATTCAGATCCCCACATTATGTACTTTTACCCTGTCACAGGGCCTGACTTTCCTATTATTGAAGTGGTTCCTTTTGATGAAATTATTAATAACTGTTGGAATTTCTCCTAAGGAACAGGAATTGTATTAGAAAGACTAGAGTTAAAATTGCTATGAACACATCGGCTTCCCACTTAACAGGTAGCCAGCCTTAGAAGAACATACAAAGAACATAGGGAAGGTCTGAGAGGGAAGTTTTTAATTTCTATTAATAGCAGCAAAATTTGGAGAATGGACTGTCGCCTAAAGAGTTTCAGCTCAGGAAGAGGAATTACAGAATGGAAAATGTATGAACATGAAGCAAATCTGTTATTTCTACCTATTGTCAACTCTCTCTATGGAAACCCATATTGGAGAGAAAAAATACATTCTACATATGTATAATAGTGTCCTTTTATTTATGACTGCAATCAGTATTTCCTAAACTACTGCTTTGAAGAAGGTGAAACCAAAAGGAATTAAATGAATAAACCAAAAACTAAACTCTGCGTAGGTTTGAGGTTCTTACCTTACCATGCTATAGAATCATCTAGGGAGTCTTTAAAAGTACAGATGCCTAAGCCCTACTCAAGAGCAATTAAATCAGAATCTCTGAAGGTGAGGCCCAGGTATCCATACCCCCTCACCCCCAAGTCCCTGTGATTTTATTGTGCAACCAGGATTGAGAACAGTTGGCATACATTTTGGGGCTTTTGGGAGCCCCTTTGTTTAAACTGAAATTTATTGAAAACAGCTGAGGCCAGGAGCTCCTGGAACTCACACTAATTTGGAGAAATAAGGGGCTTAATTCTGGGTAATAAAAGAATTTTAAAAAGTAGTTCTTTTTAACCATTTGTTCACTGCTTTGTTACCCAAACCCAGATGACCCCCTAGTGCCAGAGATTGCACGGATCTATAAAACTAATAGAGATAAATACAACAGAATACCTCAGGAATGGTCTCAGAAGTATGCCATGTGATACTACCTTAAAGTCAGAATAACCTTCATTATAGCTGGAATAAACTCTAAATTACTGTTTCTTTTTTGATTTTCTATCTGGTTGCTCTCCTATCAGACCTCATCTTTTTCAATTTTATTTTTTGTTTACCTCCCTCCATTCATTCACATGCCCATCTGAGAAAACAAGTTCTTCCAGCTTTGGACAATAATTGCTTTTAGAAACCGTAAAGTAGTTACAAGAGAACAGTTGTCCAAGATTCAGAATCTTTTAGAAAATGGAGCATGTGTGTTATGTGGCCAGTGTCTTCACTCCAACTTGGTTATGAGACGAAATCCATTCCGCACCGCGCTACCATGCTGAGGGTATCATCCGATGCGGAGGGAGGTGGATGCTCAGTTGTCACATCTAAGGGAGCAGCACTGTTCTGGCAGCATCCGTTCTTGTTGAAGCCTTCCACTGTTAGAGAACTGAGGTCACATGATATACTTTATGCTCATGTGGCTGGAGGATGGTATTAAATTTATAGCGTCGGCAGAACAGAAAATGTGATGTATTTTATGCATGTCAATAAAGGAATGACCTATTCTTGTTCTACAGAGGAAAAAAAAGAATTAAAAAAATAATTCAATAATTAACAGTAACTACAATGTGTTAGTGATCATTGTCTCTTACAGTAGTCATGATTTATGACTCCACCTTTACTAAAGTCGTAAACCTGTCTTACACAAAAAGAGACAGACCTACATTTCATATGTATAAAGACTAGTACTGTATTAAAACAACTTGATCAAAAGTCTTTGTGTCTTTACAGTGAATGACAGCAAAATAGACACCTATCTATTATAAAAGATAGTAGAAAATAAGCAAGTTCAATCTACTTAAGAACTTATTAGCTAGCAAACTAAGACTCTTTGTTTAGTTCACCAGGTCATAATTCTTCTTTAACAGCCTAAGACATTTTACAGCATAGTACCTGAATAAGCAAAGTACTTCTGAGTGATTTACTTCACAGTACTCCCTAATTTAAATTGATTTTGTTTTTAAAGGCAGATTCATATTTCTGATTTCATATCTTTCTCAAAGAGAGGGATTATATTATTCTGTATATTTCTCACTGTATGTCTTCTTTTGATAAGGTGAAGTGAAATGCTTACTAAAAATTATATATATGTATAATCTTCCTAGTACATGCATGAGGAATTTTGGGGAGTTATGTATGTATAAAATGGACATGATTTTTAAAAACCCATATTTTAAAATAAATGACTGAGAAAATTTTTGTGTGTATTCTTTGTTAATAAGAATACACATAAACATAGACAATTCACATTTTGAAGGGCCAATATGGTGATATTAACATTTTTGCATACATATGATTAAGTTTCAAGACTTACTCTACCTACCCCTTTAAGTGAAGTAGAAACAAGTAAGTTTAGTCAACTGCAATATTTTCCCTAATTTATTTTTTATGAAAATATTTTTCAGGCCTGCACTTGCTAGAAAATGGCAGGGGAAAAACCCTCAGTTTACTTATGATTAGATATTTTAAGGGCAATATGCAATTTAAAAGGGCCAATGTTTTATTCCTCTTCCTACAGTTTGGACTTGAAACAGAGCCAATTCCAGAAGATATTGAAGATCCCAAAGCCTACAGGTCTGAGCTTTTTCAAAACAAACCAACATTTTATGGAAGTTGATTAAGCTAAATGAATTTCCAAATAGTTAAATACTAATTTTCTCTTCACTGTTTCTGTATCTTGTTATGCTTTTAAATTTCTGTTTTCAGTATAGAGAATGCCAGAAGAAAAAGAGAACAGGACAAGCTAATGAAAGAAGTGGAAGAAATAAAGGCCAGGAAGAGAGAACAACTCAGAGCTTTGAGGAATCAATTTCAGAAACTGTTAGAAATTAATGAAGAATTACCAGAGCATATGCAGTTTAAAAGGACAGTAAGTCAAAAATAAATTTGACTTTAATTTTAACATATGCTATTTTTGGCTTGAAACTAGTACTATTTTGTCAATAATATCATCTTTAAGCTTCTCTTTTCTGGCCAGTCAATGTGTTGGTAGCAACTAAACTGCTGTAGAACTTGTCATACATCTTAGTTTAGATGCAGAAGAACTTCTTCATACAAAGTTTACTTCTGGATTTAGCTACCTTACCTTTTTTTTGGTAGCAAGATAAGCTACAAATATAAGTTTGAATTTGATTATCAACTCTTATCATATGTAGTCAAGATATCTAACTATTCAATATGTAACTGTTGAATATATAATTTGATTTTTGGTGGTTGCATTTCTATAATTCATCAGATCTGTTGAAAAGATACTATCTGCTTTATCCACAAAGTTTCTGAAAGATGACTTAGTTTATCTTTTTAGTTATGGGGGCAGTTGCTCAATTGTTTATGCTAATTTTGTATGAATTTTTTTCTACCTGCTAGTAATTTTTTTTTCATTTCATACTTCTTCCTAAATGGAAGTACTTCAAGAACCTAATCAAGTAAAAACCCAGAATTTATCATCCTGATTATATCCGTGGTCCTATAATTCTAGAGGCACTGAGGCAACTGCATATAAAAATGCTTTGGTGAAATCATAATGGTTAACTCATACTGGTCAAAAGATGTTTATGCTCTTTTACTAAGAAAAAGGTAGACACTTGCAGAATATGGATGACATAATTCAAAATAAAGAACAACTGAGGCAAGTTCTGTGGCTAAGCACTTTACACACATCATTACTTACAACACAGGCACCTCTTGAAAGAATAATTACCATTTCCAATTTAGTGTGAATGAAGGCCCTGACAATATTCAGGTGTGAAGGTAAGAAACATGAGACGTCTAAGTCTAATTATGGGGAAAATAACCCCCTTGGTGAAGGGCATTCAACCAGAACCTGATGTTAAGAAGATGCCAAAGATTTTTGCTGTCTTTCCTGGGTAGGGTCACATGGGAGGGGATGTTCAGCTAATGAGCAACTGCCAATGAACGTCTACCCTGTGCCCAGCTGGCTATGTAACAGTAATTGCTTTGGGGTATAGGGAATATATTTTTTAAAACTCTGTGAAGGGAACTCTAATGGGGTGGCTCAGTTGGTTGGAGCATTGCCCCATACACCAAAAAGTGGTGGGTTCAATTCCTGGTCAGGGCACATGCCTAGGCTGCGGGTTTGATCCCCAGTTATGGCACATACAGGAGGCAACCAGTTGATGATTCTCTCTCACAGCGATGCCTCTCTCTCTCCTCTCTAAGATCTATAAATGTGACCTTGGATGACGATTAAAAAAAATGTAAACTTCCTACACTCTAAATAGTCTGTTAGCATTAGTTATTTTTATTATGAGAAAAAATCATTTAGTATATAATTTTATTTGTGTTATAATTATTTCTGAGAATGTTTTTCATTTTTTGTGGAAGATCAAAAGTATGTTATTTCTTTCTATAATGGAAAGAGTTTATGATATTTGGGAAGGAGTAATGATGCTGGATGAAATTGAGGAGAAAACTTAAAAATCTGTATGTGTGAAATAGGATTGATAAAAGTACATCGATAAAAGTACCTGTTTTCATGAACAAATCTACCTATCTGCAGGATTTTGATGTAGATTCTAAAATTCGTGCTGAGATTAACAGAAAAACAGTTCATAAAATTCAGCAAGTGGAAAAGGAATTGGCTTGGGAAAAAGAGAAACATGAACTTGGCCTAATGAAGCTACAGAATAGGTAGGATCCATAATTCTTTCAATTTAAGATGTTTGAGAGAATATATTTGAATAAAATAGTTTATAGTGGCTTAATTGAAGTATTCAGATAAGAGGTCTCCTGAAATATGCACTAACTCTTAAAATCTCAAGGAATCTTCTTGTCACTGCTACTGATACCTTCCTGAGCTTTCTGATCACTCCTTCCTATGTAAACCTGAGAAATTTGTTTTACAATTAGATATTTTGTCAACCAAGTTATGTAATACATATTTACATTGTTTTTCACAGTTTTTAAAATCTAACTAATACAATAGCATGTAAATATTAAAACACCAAAAATAAAATAGAGCCAAAGTACTCTCACAATGGAAGACTTCAACTTCTGTCCAATCCCCCTTATGTACCAATTTGACTTCTCAGGGAATATTAGTTTTCTTTGCCTTTTTGAGATATAATTTATATAGAGTAAAATGCATAAATCTTAACTGAACAGCTCGATATGGATAAACTTTTATGGATATATAAACATATATACCTGATACCTGGATTATGGACATTAATAGCACTGCAGAAAGTTCCCTCATGATCCATCCTACTAAAAATTTACTTTGCAAAAATGAATGTTTATCACCATAGATTAGTTTTGCCTGAACCTCATATAAATGAAATGTTGCAGTATGAACTCTTTGGTGTCTGGCTTCTTTACTTGGTATCATGCCTAAATTTAACCATGTCATTGCAGGTAACAGTAGCTTATTCTTTCTCATTGCTTTATAATATTCTATTAAATGGTTACACCACAATTTATCCATTTAACTGTTGATAAATAGTTGAGTCGTTTCTTCTATTTTTTGGCTACTATGAGTAATGGGGCTATGAGTATTTCCGTGCATGTTTTTTGGTGGATATAAGCATGTGTTTTAGAACAGAAGTTTTTAATTTCAGAAAGTTCAACTCATCCATTTTTTTTCAATTTATTAAAGTTTTTGCTATCTCTTAGTGCTTTTATGTTGTAATTAGGAAATTTTGTTTATTCCAAAATTGTGAAATATTCTCCTATGTTTTTTTCTAGGAGCTTTATTGTTTTGCCATTATTTATCTTGAATAAATTTAATGGGTGGTATAAGACAGAGATTAACTATCATAGTTATCACAAATTCATAACTAGGTGGGTCATGGTAGGTAGTAATGCCCCAGGCACATAATTTCTTCAGTAAAAGTGTTATTTTTGCCTTAAGTAAGCTCTGTCCATTGTTTCTTTGCATCTAGGCTAACACACCTTTGAAATTCCCACCTTCTAATGTGTGACCACATTCAAGAAAGCACTTAATCTTAAACTATACTGTAATTTATTTATTTATTTATTTATTTATTTTTATTGTTGTTCAAGTACAGTTGTCTCCAATTTCCCACCACTACTTTCCCCTGCTCCACCCACTCCCATAACCCCTCCTCAATCCTTCCCCACTTTGGCTTTGTCCATGAGTCCTTTATACATGTTCCTTGACTTAAGCTTTCCTCTTCTTTTTCCCAGTTGCCTCCACCCCCCTCCCCTCTGGTTGCTGTCAGTTTGTTCTTTATTTCAATGTTCCTGGTTATATTTTGCCTGCTTGTTTGTTGATTAGGTTCCACTTATAGATGAGATCATACGGTATTTGTCATTCACCACCTGGCTTGTTTCGCTTAGCATAATGCTCTCCATTTCCCTCCATGCTGTTGCGAAGGGTAGTAGCTCGCTCTTTCTTTCTGCTTCATAGTATTCCATGGTGTAAATGCACCACAGTTTTTTGATCCACTCATTTACTGTTGGGCACTTAGGTTGCTTCCAGCACTTGGCTATTGTAAATTGTACTGCTATGAACATTGGGGTGCATAGGTTCTTCTGAATTGATGTTAAACTATTCTGTAATTTAATCCCTGCTTTGCTTTCTCCCACTTTCATGTAATCCCTCCTTAAGCTCAAATGCATAAAAGAAACTGCAAACTGTTATTCTCTGAAGCGTTTATCTCAGTCTTTTGAGATCTTTTTTTCCAGGCATATCCTCTGTTTGGCTCAAATAAGCTTTTGTAAAAATTAAAAACAGAAAACAAAAACAAAGAGATAGAGATCAAGTGTCATTTGTTTCTGCGTGGATATCTAATTGACCGAGTATCATTTGCTGAAAAAAACTACTCTTTCCTCACTAGATTGTAGTGATGCTACAGTTAACCATGTATATGTGGTTCTGATCCTGAACTCTTCATTCTGATCCATTGAACTATATATCTATATGCTCATATCACATTGTCTTAATTATTTTTTTGACCTCTCACATTGTAAATCCCCTGGCTTTGTTCTTCATCTTCAATATTAAGTCCTCTGCATGCTAAGATTTTTTATTGGAATTACCTTGAATCTGTACATCAGTTTAGACATTTTCAGACATCTAAAAAATATTGAATTTTTCAGTCCATAAACATGATATATCTTGAAAAGAATCCACTTTTAATGTTTCTTCTAGTGGTTGCAACCATACATCTAAATAACATATTTCTATGAATTTATTACTAATCATTATTTATTGACTTCCTAGCATGATAGGTGAGGATTTTGCTCACTTTAACATGCTCATGCTGTATTTTTTTTTAACCTTTTTGGACATAGAAAATATATTATAATAACACTTTAAAGTCCTTTTCTGCTAATTATATCATCTGCATCATTTCTGGGTCTGTTTTTATTCATTGATATTTTTCTCTTTATTTTAGCTCATATTTTTCTTCTATTTTGCCTGCCTGGAAAGTTTTGATTGGATGCCAGACATTGTGAATTTTACATTGTGGGTGCTGGATTGTTTTTTTAAAGAGGAAATTCATTTTTTTTAAGATTTCATTTATTTTTAGACATAGGGGAAGGGAGGTAAAAAGAGAGGGAGAGAAACATCCATGTGTGGTTGCTTCTCATGTGCTCCCTACTGGGGACCTGGCCCACAACCCAGGCATGTGCCCTGCCTGGGAATTGAACCAGCAACCCTTTGGTTCGCAGGCTGGTGCTCAATCCACTGAACCACACCAGCCAGGGCTGCTGGATGTTTTTTTACATACTTTTACATATTCTTGATCTTTGTTCTGGGATTTAGTCAAGTTATATGAAAACAGCTTGCTTTTTTTGATGCTTGCTTCTTTTTAAATGATTTTTTATTGTTCAGTTACAGTTGTCCCCATTTCCCCCCCATTACTCTTCCCTACTCTACCCACCCCCACCTCCCACATTCAATCCTCCCCCTCCTCACTGTCGTCTTTGTCCATGGGTCCTTTATACACGTTCCTTGATGACCTTTCCCCTTGCTTTTAATCTTTGTTAGGTGGAATCAGGCACCCTTTAGTACAGAGCTAATTTTTCCCACTACTAAGATAAAATTCTTCTGAGTACTCTTCCTCTATGTCCCATGTGTTATAAGGCTTGTGAAAACGTAAGCTACTCCAACCTGTGAGGGGGTCTGGGGATTATTCTACCTGCTTCCTTCCGGTGTTTCTTTCCCCAGCTTCAGATAGACCCCTCACACGTTACATGCTGATTAGGGCTCACCTGAGGCAGGAAGGCAGCCCTTTGCAGCTCTCCAGCTCTCTCTCCGTGTGCGGCAGTCTCCTCTCAGGTGCTCTGCCTTGTGAATTATGGCACTGGTTACTTGGCATCTAGTCCCTGAATATTTGAATTCTTGGATAATATTTGAATATATAAATCCCTAAATTATATCTAGATTGCTACCCCCCAAGAGATGAAAGTAAGGAGTTCTTCTCAGGAAGAACACTCAACATAGTGTCCTATGTTTGGCTTTAATATTCATAATATATTTATAAATATATATGACAAATATGAATCTTTCCCAAACTCAGGTACACAGGCAATATTGCTAGTTTTTATTTTATTGAAAATAACTTAAATTTGACTCAGGGCTCCTGTTCCACCAGGTTGACAAGAAAGCTATTTTTAGTACCACTGAGGCTCACTGCCCCAGCCTGCCTGCTTTTTTTCAATCCTTTGAATCTATGGTTCCTGTGCTCTGCTGGAGCAGGGCAGCCTTTGGTAAGGTTTACAGGATTCAACACACTCGTAGCCATCATCCTAGAGGCCTTGTGTCTCCCCAGATGCTATCAGAAGCAGGGAACAAGTGCCCATCACTCTAGGACCCAATTTGCCCATCATCCTTCTCGTCAAGTGGAACCTCTTCCTTCCACTCTCCTTGCCCTCAAATACTTGTTTTCTTAACTCCCTGTTTTCTTGCCCTGGTCTAGGCCCCTGACCCTCCATAGCTTGGTGTCTTCAATAAGCTTATGGAAGGAAATATTAAAAACCTAGCTCTCTGATTGGAACTGGGGAGAGGATAAATTTGTACCACTGAATATCACTAGGCATTACCAGTGTTTTCATCTTCATTGGTCTAATAAGCCAAATATAATAACTCTTGGTTGAATAATTTATATTGATTATTGATGTAGTTAAACATTTGTTTTCATTAGTCTATAGTTCATTTATCTTTATTGTTATAATTGTCTATTTAGAGTCCTTGTTTGTTTTTCTTGGAGTTCTGTTTATTTTTCCCCTTATTTTTAGTTATAGTCTATTCCTATTTCTCTATTTGCCTTTTATTATATACATTGTAACTACTTTCTCCTACCATTTGCCTTAAACCTTGTTCATATTTTTCTAACTGTGCAGAAGTTTTAAATTTTGATGTGATCAAAAGTATTCATTATTTCCTTCATGTTACCTGGATTTCATGGCAAAACTAAAATTTAAAGAGTAAAAAACTCCCATAGGCAAGAAGATAAAGGGAATAAGTCTTACAGAGATGAGAAAGATACTATGCTATGAGAGAAAAGGGAAAATTAAAAAGAAATAATAAGCCATTTTAAAAGGAGAAATACATTCAAAGGATTGAGTTATAAAAACAATAAGAAAGACAAAAAAGCTAGGAATAATTACTATGTACATAAATAAGTTAAATTCTAAAATTAAAACATGGGGGAATAATTAGGAATAAGTTCTAAAAATAGCAATAATTTAATTGATGAAGAAAAACTTTTAAAAGATAAATCTCGCCCTGGCTGGGTGGCTCACTTGGTTGAGCATCTTCCCGTACACCAAAGAGTCAAAGATTCGATTCCCAGTAAGGGCACATACCTAGGTTGCAGATTCAATCCTCAGTCAGGGCTTGCACAAGAGACAACTGGTCAATGTTTCTCTGTAACATTGATGTTTTTCTCTTTCCGTCCCTCCCTCCCTCCCTCCCTCCCTCTCTCCCTCTCTCAAATCAATATGCATATCCTCAGGTGAAGATTAAAGAAAAAAAAAAAAGGCCCTGGCTGGTGTGGCTCAATAGATTCAGCGCTGACCTGAGAACCAAAGGGTCATTGGTTCGATTTCCAGTCTAGGGCGCATGCCTGGGTGTGGGCCAGGTCCCCAGTAGGGGGTGCTTGAGAGGCAACCAGACATTGATGTTTCTCTCCCTCTCTTTCTCCCTCCCTTCTCCTCTCTAAAAAAAAATAAAAACATGATAATCTTTTTAAATAAAGATAAATCTTTGTGGGCTGTAGGAGAACAGTGAACTAGAGTGTAGTATGAATTTCTGAGCTTAATGTTTCTTATAGAGGCAAATAGGGTAATATGATAGATATGAGATATATAGTATATATATCATCTCACTATTACTTATATTTGTAATATATAATGAGATACATATAAAATGGAAGATATACAGTATATGAATTAATAGAGAGGTAGATTACATTTTCTTAGTTTGAGATGATCCATTTACCATTAAACTGCAGTCAACTTGAAAAATTTTTATTTTTTTACACATCACCAAAACAGTAATATTATACTGATTGATAATAGGTCATTTAATATTTACATTAGAAAGAAAATTCTACTTGCTCTTTAACCAAGTCCTACCCAACTTCCATCCTTGTTGGTATATGCATGATTAAGTTTTGGATCCAGTGTGATATTATTTGTTATTATATTTTTATTGTTCAAATACATTTGTCTCCATTTTCCCGCCACCACTTTCCCCTGCCCCACCCATCCCCACCCCCTACCCTCAATCCTTCCCCACTTTGGCTTTGACCATGTGTCTTTTATGCATGTTTCCTGATTTGACCCTTCCCCATCTTTTCCCTGTTACCACCCTCCCACCTCCCCTCTTGTTACTGTAGGTTCATTTTTTCTTTCAATGTTACTGGTTATATTTTTCTTGCTTCTTTGTTTTGTTGATTAGGTTTCACTTACAAGTGAGATCATATGGTATTTGTCTTTCACCCCTTGGCTTATTTCGCTTAGCATAATGCTCTCCAGATCCATCCATGCTTTTGCGAAGGGTAGTAGCTTTTTCTTTCTTTCTGCTGTGTAGTATTCCATTGTGTAACTGTACCATAGTTTTTTGATCCACTCATTTACTGTTGGGTACTTAGGTTGCTTCCAATACTTGGCTATTGTAAATCGTGCAGCTATGAACATTGGGGTGCATAGGTTCTTTTGAATGGGTGTTTTAGGATTCTTAGGGTATAATCCCAACAGTGGAATTACTGGGTCAAAAGACAGTTCCAGTTTCAGTTTTTTGAGGAAATTCCCAACTGTTTTCCACGGTGGCTGCACCAGTCTGCATTCCCACCAACAGTGCACTAGGGTTCCCTTTTCTCTACAACCTTGTGAGCACTTGTTTGTTGATTTGTTTATGATGGTCATTCTGACTGGTGTAAAATGGTATCTCACTGTGATTTTAATTTGCATCTCTCTGATGGCTTGTGATGCTGAGCATCCTTTCATATGTCTCTGGGCCCCATATATGTTATAAGCATAGTATATTGCAGTCTTATTTTATTACTTAATAATTATGTAGAATGATTAAAATGGTGTAAATGATTAAAGTGGTGACTAGTGAAGATACTTGTTTCTTTTTCAGGTTTCTTGACTCATTGGAAAGTGATACTATTGTGGTTCATGCCATACAGAGTGATCACAAGATATCCTCCTACAGGCTTACAAAGCCTTCCAAGTACTCCAAATTCAAACGGGCCAGTCAGTCAGACAGACGAACAAGCAAATTGGAGAGGTTTGAAAAAGAGGGAACTGGAAGAAGTGATAGCCAGAAAGATATAGGTAACCTAAATGACTAGAAAGCTTTTAAGTCCTCCTTAAGATTTCAAAACCAGGTTGTATTTTTGTGGGCAGAACATTGGAATGCATTTTGGTGGCTTGAGTTGAATCTCCTGTCTCCGGTCTTTCATTTCTTTGGAAGAAGTAATCTAAAGAACTTTGTATGGTTGAGATTAAGAGGTCAATTTTCTCCAGCAAATGCTGCACACCAACCTTCCTGTTTGGAACAGGCTGCTAAAGAAAACTCACCCTGGTCATGTGACTGAGAGGATAAGAATACCCAATGCTGCTGGGGGTTTTTGTTTTTGTTTTTGTTTTACTTCCTGTGTACACCTATTCTTAAATCTAGGATTTCCCCCAGATGCTAGTTTCCAGGCATTGTTTCTACCCAGATTCCTGGGCTCCATCCCAGAGTGCGGGACTGGAACACAGCATTTCAAACTATTTTCGAAGAACATGTGCTTTAAACAGAAGGATGAGCTGAGAATAGAGATGTAAAAATAGTACTTCTAATTCCTGCAACCTGCCTCTTGTAACTGCTCACAGGGTAACTGCAGATGACTAGAAGGAGGACAAGGATTCAGGGAATGGCTTGGAGAGGACAGTCAAGAACAAATTAAGGACCCAATGTAGCCTGGCTAGGTCTGAGCTAGTGCCCGAGATACAGAACTGACATTAAAGCTGGTTTTTCCTCTTCCTTGAAAAATCTTTAATAACTCTTTTTTGCCTCTGCGATAAATTCTGAAACCATTATCCCACGATGTATCAGTATTCTGTTTCCTGTTAATGATGCATCCTCATACTGATCAACTTGTATTTTTAGCCTATTGTCCTGCTCGATGCTCCCTAATTCTACTTGATGCTTCCATATCCAGGCTTCTGCTAGAGTGACCAATTCACTCTTTCCTTTGAATTCTACCAGTTCATGGAGATCCAGATCGAATTACTTTTTTCTTTTTTAAATAAAGCCTCCCATGACCATCAGTTTACATTAAACTCTTCCTTTTCCACACTGCCATATATTTGAAATATGACATGGGGAGTTATAACTATACGGCCATCTCATTAACTTTTTTCATGCATCTCTAAAGTACATCTCTATGCAGCTTGAACATGAACTGAGTATTACTTAGATACTTGTTGATAAAGCCAATAACTTTTTCCGCCCAGAGGAAGCAGCTTTTATTGATGTTATCTCCAGAAACCAAGAAGACCATGTACCCACTTTTGGTCACCTCCTATCCTTCCAGAATCTCACATTGCTTTTACTTGGGGAAGGGATATAAATTGTCTTTTGGTTTTCTAAATCCCTAAGACTTTCTCTTTTCCGTGTAGCCTTTGAAACTCAGTATCAATACTGTTTTGTTGTTGTTGTTTTTCAGCAATGCTTCCTGAATCTATTTAGTAACAATGGGTGAGGCACCGTGAAGGATGCAAGGAAAACAGGAGTGTAGCCTATCAAAGACCCTCTGTCCAGCTTTAATGGCTTGATCCTTCATTGGTTGCATTTCTCTTAATGCTATATCAGACCATTCTGAATCACAGTCAAGATTTCTACTGCCAGCTCTAGACCCAGCCCCAGAGCCACAAGATGAACTAGTCTCTGTTAGTGATCTGCGAAGGCTTAAAGCAATCAGGCAGGCATATTTTTCTACCCCTATACATCTTTGCTATTTTCTCATCCAGTTCAAGGGCTACAGTTTCTGGATCAGTAGTGGAACATGTGATAATTTGGATTGTCAGTCTCATATTTGAGGAGATCATGTATGTACCAGTATGTTCCACACCACCAAGTCCCTTCTTTGCAGAACTGCTGTCAGAACCAATCACTGTCCGCATTCTTGCTTTCCACATACTGGATAAGCGATTGATATTCCTTCTTGAGTTGCTGCACCCATAGCTCCTGATACTGAGTCCATTGTTAGTTTGCACCACTGGGATCTCAGACATGGCATGCTTGTGGCCTTGTCCATCATCTTGAACAAGGACCTAAAACCAATAACTTTAAAATGATATATTTGATTGTGTGTTTCTGATCAGTTTGTAAATTGACCACACATATACCAACTGAAGTTGGTATATGTCACCTCAAATGGTACATCTAAAATACAACTCATTTGCTTTCCTCTTCCCCTACTATCATATCACAAACACTTTTTCCCAGCCTCTCAGTATATATGTCAGTTGTCCATCATTATTTTCTCACTATCTGCTTGTTTAATATATATGTCTTATCTTCCCAACTTTTCAATGTTTCCTAAAAGCAAATATTGTAACTTAAATCTCTTAATTTTGGTATTTTAAAGTACCTATTATGAGGCTGAATTCATGCTAGTTGCTTAATAACTACTGTGATTTACAAATTCATTATATTCTCTGGATGTAAAAAATGTGATAGGTTGAAAACAATACCTGAGAATTTCATTTTGATGTTTCAAAAAGATTGATAAAAATGTTGACTCTCTGTACAGGTGGGAGTATTAGTGTGCCAGAAGAATCAATTATAGAAAAAGGGAAGCTATTTCGGCCTAAAACCCTAAGTCAAATTATGGTGGAAAATCAGATTGAGAAAACAAGAAAACTTATATTAAAAGCTGAAAGGGCACGGCAGAAGATTCAGCAGCGGAAAAAACAATGGGAGGAACTGTAAGTTTTCTATGTAAACTTTTAATATGAGTCTCAAAATACCCTTAACAATGTAAATAAATATAAAAATTTTTCTTTAAATAAGAAATGAAACAAATAGAAACAGAGGTGGAGAGACTGGAAACTGGTTAGCTGGATCTTTCAGGGTGGTGAGACCTTGGTGCATCTTCTATGATCCTGAGTTTCAGGTCCTGGAATTCCATTTTGCTGATAACACTCAGAATGACTTTCCAGGATTAAGACATTCTTTTTATCCCAACATCAAGAAGATATTCTCCAGATGTTCTTCTAACATCTTATAGTTTTGGCTTTCACCTGTTGATCTCTAACCATCTGAAATTAACTTTAAAAATCTAGTATAAAGTACTTTTATTTAACAAGCACATATTTTCATTTATTTTCCACCTATATATCTTTGGCAAAATGTCTCTCCGTATCTTTTGCTCATGTTCAAATGAGATGTTAGCTATATAAGTGTTGAGTTTTAAGATTTTAAAAAAATATATTCTACAGACTAGTCCTCAGGCATGTTGTTTTCAAATATTTTCTCCTAGTCTATTGCTTGTCTGTTCATTCCCTTAAGAGGGTCGTTTGCAAAGCAAAACTTTTTGATTTTGTTGAAGTGAACTCATCAGTTTTTCCTTCTGTGAATCTTGGTTTTGGTGCTGAGTCTAAGAATTCTGTCTAACACTAGGTCCCAAAGATTTTCTTGTTTTTATAAAAAGTTTTGTAGTTTTACACCATATATTTAAATCTATGATCCATTTAGTGTTCATTTTTGCAAAAGGTGTGAGATTTATGTTTATATATTTTTTATTTTCTTTTTTTGCCCATAGGTATCCAATTCCTCAGTCATCTTTTGGTGTAAAGCTTCTATTTCCTCTACTGAATTGCTTTTGCACTTTTGTCAAAAATCATCTTGGCATATTGGCATTGGTCTATTTCCCTGTTCACTTTCTGATCCAATGATTTCTATGTCTGTCCCTTCCCCAACATACAATCTGGATTACTAAAGGTATATAATAGTTCTTGAATTTGGATAGACTAATTTCTCTTATTTTATTCTTTTTCAAAATTATTTTAGCTATTCTAGTTACTTTGATTTTTCATATAAATTTTAGAATACTCTTGCCTATGTTTATAAAAAATCTTACAGAAATTATGATAGGAATTGCATTAATCCTTGTATCAATTTGGAGAACATTGACATATTTATTATGTTGAGTCTTTTAATCTATGGACATGGTATGACTCTCCGTTTATTTAGATCTTTTTTGATTTCTTTCATCTGTTTTATTTTTCACTATAAAAGTACTATACATATTTTGTTAGATATATACATAAATATTTCATTTTTGTCAACTGTAAATAGTTTTGTGTTTTTAATTTTGGTGTCTGTATGTTCACATGCATTGCTAGTAAAGACATACATTTGATTTTTGTGTTTATCTGGGTACCATGACCTTGCTGCACCAAGAGAGTTCTTTTTGGGTGTGGATGTTCCTTGAGATTTTCTGTGTAGACTATCATTGTCATATGTAAATAGGGGCAATTTTATTTCTTCTTATTCAGTCTGTTTGCTTCTTATTTCTTTTTTTCTTATTTTTTTTTTTTGCTCTGGTTAGAGCTTTCAGTACTATATTAAAATAGAACAAAGACAGCTGGCATCTACATCTATTTCTAATCTTAGTGGGAAAGCATTTAGTATTGTTTACTTCAGCCTACCTATATAGGTTTTTTTGAAGTTAATGTCTTATTGACAGCATATAGTTGGGTTATGTTTTTTAATTCATTCTGTCAATTCCAGTTCTTTAATTGGTATATTTAAGCCATTTACACTTAAGGTAATTATTGATATTTGAAGCTTATATCTACTATTTTATATTTTATTTTCTATTTGTTCTCTCTTTTGTTTTTCTGGGGTTTTTTCCTGCTGTCTATGGTTTAGTTAAATATTTTAGGATTCCAGCATGATTATCTATAGTGTTTTTTTAGCAAACAGCTTTGTGCAGCTGTTTCAGTATTTGCTCTAGGTATTACATTAAGTATGCATGACTTAATACAGTGTACTGATGTTGACATTTTATCATTTTGAATGAAGTGTAAAAACTTCACCTGCTTTTATGACCCTTGCCCCCTCATTTCCCCTGTTCATAATATAATTCTATAAATATTTCTTCTACATACATTTTAAAACACAGCAGTATTATAGTTTTCCTTTAATCGTAAAACATAATAGACAACAGAAGTAAAATGTATTTGCCAATATATTTGCTATTACCATTTTATTAACTTCCTTTTTTGCTGTTCCTAGTTTCCTTTTATTTTTTCATTTTTATTTAGATAATTTTTTTAAGACATTCTTTTATGATAGTTATACTGGTGACAAATTCTGTTAGTTTTTCTTCATCTAAGAATGGTTTGATTTCCCTTCCTACTGTACTTAGAATTCTGTATTAACAGTTCATATTTTCAGCATGTAAAAAATATTGTGCTTCTTCCTGCTGGCCTCCATGGTTTCTTATGATTTGTCTGCTGTCATTGAAATTATTTTCCTCCCATATCTAAGATTTTAGTTTTCTCTTGCTGCTTTCCAGAATTTTTCCAGAAACTTTTCCAGAAAACTAAAGCCCCTTGTCTTTAGTTTTCAGAAGTTTTACTGTGATGTGTCTTGGTGTAAATTTCTTTAAACTTTTCTTTGTTGGATTCATTGAACTTCTTGAATCTGTACGCTTGTGTCTCCTGCCAACTTTGGGGAAGTCTTCAGCCATTCATTATTACAGTTATTTTGAAGTCCTTTCCTCTTTTTTTTTCTCCTTCTGGGACTCCAATGACACAAATATTAGATCCCTGAAGCTCTGTATGTCTTGTTGATGCTGTTGTTTGCTTGCTTGTTTGTTTCTGGTGTCTTTTCTTTCTGCTGTTTAGATTGGGTAATTGCTATTTTCTATCTTAAAGCTCACTGATTCTTTCCTCTGCATCTTACATTTTGATTTGAGCCCATCCTTTGAATTTTATTTTGGTTATTTTATTTTTCAGTTCTAAATTTCTATTTGGTTCTTCCTTATATCTCCCATTGTTTCTTAAGACCTTCTTTTCTTTCATTTGTTTTAAGCATCTTCCTAAATATTTGCTGAAGCACTTTTTAATGGCTGCTTAAAATCCTTGTAAGATTATTTAAATATTTTATTAAGATTTTTTAATAAAAAGTTATTTTAAAACTGTATATTCTCATTTAAGTTGAGGTCATCCTGATTCTTGGTAGGAGCAGTGATTTTTTTAATTAAAATCTGGACATTTTGGGTATTATGAGACTCTGGATCTTATTTATATATTGTTTTATCTGGGCTTCTGTCACTTTAGCAGGATAAAGAGGAGTGCCATCTTGTTATGAGTTCAGAAGCCTAAATTACCCAATCTTCCCCAACTGGCACCTGAGGAGGGACAAGGCTACTTGCTGGTCAAGAGTAGGAGTTCTAGATCCATTAGGCTCCCATTAATACCACTTTTACTCTTCAATTCGCCCTCACTGATACTGTGGGAGAAGGTGAAAGTCATCACTCTCCAATAGGCCTCCTCAAACACTACCTCCTCAGGGAGGGATGGATCATCTTGTTATTACTACAGGCAGTCCAAGTTCAAGCCATCCTGTGGGGTCTCTACTGACACTGTGGTAGTGTGGCTTGTTACCTCACTATGGGGATAAAAGTTTTGGTTCTTAGGACTCACCTTCTCTAACGCTGACCCTGGAAGTTGTTTTGCCTTGTTAAGGCCTGGAAATGGTAGTAATTGGGATTCCCCATTTCGCCTTTGCTGACATGGGTGGAGGTGTGGTCATAATTTTTTTTCTGTGGTGTTTGGCTGGAATAGAACACTTATTCTCTAGAGGTTTTCTGTCTTGCTATTCTGCTCCTTTCTTAATTATTTAACTAGAGAAAACAGGATTTTGTTTAGGTTTTGTTGTCTAAAACTATTGGTATTTCTGAGTTGCTTTTTTTTTAAAATTATAGATGAGATAACAATATTATATTAGTCTCAGGCATATAAAATAGTGATTTGATTCTTATATACATTATAAAGTGATCACCACAACAAGTCTAGTAACTTTCCATCACCTTACAAAGTTATTATGACATTATTGACTATGTTCCCTATGCTGTACATTGCATCCTGTGGCTTATTTGATTTATACCTGGAAATTTGTACCTCTTCATTCCCTTCACCTTATTCACCCATCCCCAAGCCCCCTCCTATCTTGAGTTGCTGTTTTCTTTGGCTCCAAGTCTGAGATATATGAGGCAGAAAGAAAATCTAGAAAACTTACCATCATATCCTTCCTTGGGTCCCAAGGTTCTCTGTGGTCTGCCTTCTTCTTCCCACATTTCAGAATCTTATGTTTGTTTTATATACAAGGTCTGTCCAGAGGGTATCCAGCCATGTACTATGAAAAATCAAGATATTTATTGAAGAAGATACAAGAAACATTATCTGTGTTTATGCATAACCCACAGACACAGACAATAGTGTGGTGATGGCCAGAGGGAAGGCAGCAGGGGGTGCGGAGGCTGGGTGGAGATGAGCAAGGAGGGGAATGGAACATCTGTAATAGTGTCAACAATAAAAATAAAGTAAAACAATAAATAAAAAGTCAACTTTAAAAAATGCTTGAGCTTTAAAAAATGCTTGAACTCTATAGACAAATAACATTACAGATTAAGAATTATACTTTTGCTTCATGATTGAGTTTGATTATATGCCTATAGTAAAGTAGACAAATTAGAGTTTATTGTTATGTTTGAGGCTGGGTATTGGGTATTTTTCTCACAGGTACAAGAGTAAACCTGCTGATGACTATGAAGATCCCAAAGATGTTCAAGCCATCAAAGAGGCTCAGGTGTATATGGGAGACTTCAATCTGAAGACAGCCCCAGACTACAAGATACCTGAGCACATGAGAATAAATGCTGCCAAGAAAGAAGAGGAACTGGGACAGTTAGACTCTATGGTACTTACCCACAGCTTGTGTGACAGTGAGAGGAACCTGGGTTTTTTTAACTGAATTCTTCCAAAACCACCTATTTCACTAGTAGGTCCATAATGACATATAGTCATAGAAATTTAGAACTGTAAAAGACCTTCATGTTTATGTAGGTCTCAGTTCCCTCATTTGTAGAAAGGGGGCATTATTCTAAATAATCATGAAAAAATACTGGTGGGAGGTTTTTTATTATTGATTTAATCTTCTCACTAATTATCTATTCAAATTTTCTATTTCTTTATGATTCACATCTGGAAGATTGTATGTGTCTAGGAATTTATTCATTTCTTCTAGGTTCAATTGTTGTTGTATAGTTGTCAATAGTAGCCTCCTGTTAATAGTGTTTCTGTGGTATCAGTTGCAACTTCTGTTTTACTTTCTATTTTTTTCTTGGTGAGCATAGCCAAACGTTTGTCAATTTCATTTATCTTTTCAAAGATCCAGCTCTTAGTTTCATTGATTTTTTCTATTGTTTTTTAGTCTTTGTTTTATTTAATTCTCTGATTTTTATGAACTTCCCTCTTAGATCTGCTTTTTTTTTTTGCATCCGATAGATTTTGAAATGTTATATATTCAGTTTCATTTGTCTCCATGTATTGTCTGATATCCCCATTAATTTCTTCATTGACCTATTGATTGTTGAATAGCATATTGCTTAATCTCCACATACCTGTGATTTTTCCAGTTTTCTTATTACAGTTGATTTCTAGTTTTGAACCATTGTGTTGGGAAAGATACATGTGAGATTTGAATCTTCTTAAATTATGGACACTTGTTTTGTGCCTAACATGTGATGTATCCTATACAATGTTCTATGTACACTTGAAAACAATGTGTATTTTACCACATTTGGATAGAACATTCTGTTTATATTTATTAAGTGCTTCTGGTCTAATGCGTTGTCTAAAACTGATATTCCAGATTGATTTTCTGTTTGAATGATGTAGCCATTGATGGAAGTGGGCTATAAAGGTCTCCTACCATTATTGTGTGCCATCAATTTCTCCTTTTATGTATGTTAATAGTTGCTTATATATTTTGGTGTTTCTAAATTTGTAAGTTTTACAAAGGTTATATCCTCTTGTTGGAAATACCTCCTATATTATTATGTAATGCCTTTAATTGTCTTTTATTACAGTCTTTGTTTCAAAGTCTGTTTTGTCTGACATAAGCATAGCTACACCATTTTCTTGTTGTTTCTCTTTGCATGAGATATCTTTTTTCCATCCCTTCACTTTCAGTCTGTGTGAGTTCTTAGATCTGAAGTGAGTCTTCGGTAGGAAGTGTATAGATGAGTCTTGGGTTTTTAATCCAATCCGCATTCTGTGTCTTTCTGATTGGGGAATTAGTGCATTTCCATTTAAAGTAATTATTGATAGGTAGTTCTTATTACCACTCTGTTAATTGTTTTCTAGACATTTTTGTAGTTCTTCTTTGTTCATCTGTTTTTTCCTTGTCCTCTTCCTTTGTGGTTTGATGACATTCCTTAGTGTTATCTTTAGATTTCCTTCTCATTATCTTTTGTGTATCTCTTATAGGTTTTTGCTTCATGGTTACTCTGAGGTTCACATATAACTATGTATATAACTTTTAAACATCTTTTTTTATATAGTTAAAACTATATGACTACACGCACACACATACGTTATCCACATATAAAAGGATACTATATAGATGACATGTGATGTATATTGTAGAATGTTCTATGTGGACTTGAAAAGAATGTGTATCGGTCTTTTTTAAGTTGATAACAACTTAAGTTTGAATGCATTTAAAAACTCTACATTTTTGCCCTGGCTGGTGTGGCTCAGTGGATTGAGTACCAGGCTATGAACAAAAAGGTCATGGGTTCAGTTCCCAATCAGGGCACATGCCTGGGTTGTGGGCCAGGTCCCTGTTTGGGGGTGTGTGAGAGGCAACCAGTAGATGTTTTTTGTTAATGTCAATGTTTCTCTTCCTCTCTTTTTCCCTCCCTTCCTCTCTTTCTAAAAAATAAATAAATATTTTTTACAAAATAAAATAAAAACTGCACATTTTTATGCCTCCTTCTGTATTTTATATTTTTGTTGTCATGGTTTACATTTTTATTTTATATATCCTTAACTATTTATTGTAGTTATATTTGATTTTACTACTTTTGTCTTTTAACCTTCACACCATCTTTATATGTGGTTAATCTACCTATATCTGACTCAATCAGTGAGATTTTTACTTTCATATGTTTTCTTATTATTGGATGGTGCCTTTGCTTTTCAGCTTATAAAAGTCCCTTTAACATTTCTGATGAAGCCAGTTTAATGGTTATGAACTCATTTAGCTTATCTCATCTGGGAAATTTTATCTTTCCCTTAATTCTGAATGATAACCTTGCTGGGTAGAGTTTTAGCTGGAAGTTTTTTCCTTTCAGCACTTTGAATATGTCATACTACCACCTTCTGGTCTGCAAGATTTCTGCTGAGAAATCACCTGATGGTCTTATGGGGGTTCTCTTGTACATAACAAATTGTTTTTTGCTATTGCTTTTAAGATCTTTTTTCTCTATTTTAATTATAATGTATCTTGGTATGGATCTCTTTGGGTTAATCTTTTTCTTTTCTTTTCTTTTTTTTTTTTTAACTCTCTGTGCTTCCTGGACCCCATGTCTGCTTCCTTTCCCAGGTTGGGGAAATTTTCAGCCATTATTTCTTCAGATAAGTTTTCTGCCCCTTTCTCTTTCTCTTCTTTTTCTTGGACTTCTATAATGTTAATGTCATTCCACTTGATTTTGCCCCATATGTCTCTTACGCTATCTTCACCTTTTAAACATCTTTTTTTATTTTCCCTGCTCTGTTTGAGTGAGTCCAGCTCCCTTGTTTCCCAGGTCAGTGACTGTTTTCCTATTCCCCCTAGTCTGCTATTGAATCCCTCTAGTATATTATCCATCTAATTTTATTCTTCAGCTCTGTACTTTTGTTTGGTACTTTCTTATATTTTTTAATTGCTTTGTTGAAGTTCTTACTTTGTTCATCCATTTTTCTCCCAGGTTCAATGATTATCTTTATGCCCATTACTTTTCTTTCTTTCTTTCTTTCTTTCTTTTTTTATTGCTGTTCAAGTACAGTTGTCTCCATTTTCCTGGCACCACTTCCCCCCGCCATACCCACCCCACATCCCACCCTCAATCCTCTCCTACTTTGGCTTTGTCCATGGGTCCTGTATACATGTTCCTTGATGATCCTTCCTCTTCTTTCCCCTTTATCCCCCTTCCCCCTCGCCTCTGGTTACTGTCAATTTGTTCTTTATTTCAATGTCTCCAGTTATATTTTGCTTGGTTGGTTGTTTTGTTGATTAGGTTCCACTTATAGGTTAGGTCATATGGTATTTGTTTTTACCACCTGGTTTATTTCTCTTAGCACAATGCTCTCCAGTTCCATCCATACTGTTGCGAAGGGCCATAGCTCTTTCTTTCTGCTGCATAGTATTCTGTTTTGTAGCTGCACTGTAGTTTTTTGATCCTCTCATTTACTGTTGGGCCCTTAGGTTGCTTTCAACACTTGTCTATTATAAATTGTGCTGCTATGAACGTTGGGGTGCATAGGTTATTTTGAATTGACGTTTCAGGATTCTTAGGGTATAATCCTAGCAGTATAATTGCTGGGTCAAAAAGCAGTTCCATATTTAGTTTTTGAGGAAATTCCCAACTGTTTTCCACGGTGGCTGCACCAGTCTGCATTCCCACCAACAGTGCACTAGGGTTCCCTTTTCTCCACAACCTCGCCAGCACTTACTGTTTGTTGATTTGTTTATGATGGCCATTCTGACTGGTGTCAAATTGTATCTCACTGTGGTTTTAATTTGCATTTCTCTGATGGCTAGTGATGCTGAGCATCCTTTCATATGTCTCTGGGCCCTGTGTATGTCCTCCTTGGAGAAGTATCTGTTCAGGTCCTTTGCCCATTTTTTAATTGGATTGTTTGTCTTCCTGGAGTGGAGTTGTGTGAGTTCTTTATATATTTTAGAGATCAAACATTTGTTCAAGGTATCATTGGCAAATATATTTTCCCATATGGTTGGTTCCCTTTTCATTTTGCTAATGTTTTATTTAGCCATGCAGAAGCTTTTTGCTTTGATGAAGTGCCATTTGTTTATTCTTTCCTTTATTCCCTTGCTCCAGGGGACATATCAGTGAAAATATTCTGCATGGAATATCTGAGATTTTCCTGCCTATGTTCTCCTCTAGGACTTTTATGGTGTCACAACTTATATTTAAGCTTTTTATCCATCTTGAGTTTATTTTTGTGTGTAGTGTAAATTGGTGGTTGAGTTTCATTTTTTCAGGAAGGATTTTTTCTGGAGCTTAACTTGCTCTTTTATTTGGAACATATCCCTCTATTTCCTTATTTTGTGTGTCTCTCTGTGTTTGTTTCTATTTATTAAGCAAACAGCTACCTCTTCTAGTCTTGAAGGATTTGCTTTGTATAAGCAATGTACCTTAAGTTCAACCTTGCCCTACCTCTTTGTTGTCTCTCAAACCTTTGTGATTGTCTAAGCAGACTATTTATTCTTGATAGGTCTCAGTTGTTGAGGGCATGACAAGACCTGGCAGTATTCCAAAGGTAGTTTTTTAGCACCTAGATTCAGGTTGATTGGAAGTCAGACTCTTAGGAACATCTTTTAAAGTAGCAAATATATATATAGTCCTGTGAGACTGCAGTCCCGACCTCTGCTGGCCTCCCGTTCAGGCTATTTGGAGGGAAGGTGTCTTTTTGGTGACAGTTGTGCAAATCAGGGCTCTTGATGAATGTATAAACTCTTTTTTTGGAGCAACCTGTAAGCTGCAGTGAGGCCAAGGGAGAGCACAAAGATGGTGTCCCCCAGCCTGTGTTCCCTGTAAGCTCCTTTGTAACCTCTAGATGTGTGGTAAACCTAAAGTCTGCCCCTTAGGCTGATGCTTCAGGTCAGGTCAATAGGCCTTTTTCACATGACTAGTGAGATATTTTAATCAACTATCTGTGCCAAACTCTTGCCAAGATCTGTCTCTCTGAATGTTCCAGTCCTGTGGGGCCTAACAACAGTCCCTTGTGGCCACCATTGCCAGGCACTTACGAGGTGTCCCCTGTTGGACTGCATTCACCTCCTGTTCTCAGAGGGGCTACAGGAGGGTGTGTGAGTGGGTGAGCCCGCTGACTTCAGGCAGGCTGCAGGAGTGCATGGAGGTGGGAAAGCTTGTAGGTGCCAGAAGGTAGAGGGAGCACAAAAATGCACCTACCAGCATCAGTGCTAGCAAGGTGGACTAAGAGTGCAAAAGTGGCACCCACCAGCACCTTCATCCCTAGAGAAAGTCCCAGGAGATGCTTTAAAATTAGCTAATGAATCTCCTTCACATATGGTCTAGGCACTTTTTAAATTGCTGCTTTTGTGCTGGATCCAGGCAAGTGAGTGAGTCTGCATGTGAGCTCTTAAAAGAGCTGACTTACCTTTCTCCACAGACTTTTGGGTCTTCTGGCCATGAACCCCATTGGTTTCCAAAGCCAGGTATTCTGGAGGCTTTTCTTTCTGGGACAAGTCCCAAGAGTCAGAGTACCTGATATGGGACACAAACTCCTTGCTCCTCTGGGGTGTGCTTTGTGTTTGTGAGCCCTCTCCCACTGTGGGTCTTTGTGCTGGAATGGTTTTGGGGAGACCGCATTTCTGCTTCTCCTACCCATCTTGGTGTGGCCCTTTATCTTTTGTTGTGGAGGAGCTAGCTGTGCAAGTAGATTTAAAGTCTTTTTCAGAGGGAGTTGACCCATGTGTATCGTAGCTGTAGATTTGGTGAGTCCATGGGAAGAGGTAAGTTCAGGTACTTCCTATTTTGTCACCTTGAACGAACCCCCACCCCCTGCCGGCCCTGAACATTTTATTATTGACCATTTGGGTTGCTTTTCTAGCTATTTGTCTAAGGTAATTCTTGTTTCATCTTTCATGTTACATCCATCATCATAGAAAAATGTTCTTTTGGCCACAATTTGCCAATCATTCAACCTGAAATTTCATAGTCTAACTAGAGATGATTGACAGGTATGATGTCCTACACAAAACTTCATTACACTGCAATGGCAGTATAAAATAATGTAGAGCACACCATTATACAAGTCAGAAGACTGGAGTTCTGTTCCCATGCTTAACATTTAATAGCCCTGTGAACTTTGTTAGTCACGTAAATCTCCCTAAGCCTCAGTTATGTTGTTTGTAAAAAGCGTATTAATAGCAATTAACAACAATAAGACATGTCTAGTCTATCTCATAGGGTTAATGTACTGGTCAAAGTCAATAAATGGTCATTCTTGTCATGATTGAATTAAAAGTACTTTAATAAGACTTTTTAAATAGTGTATTTATACATCCTTTCTCCCCATGGCCAGTGTTTATGTATGTGCATATTTGGAAAAGTAGAAAGAAAGGTTTGATGTGTAAAGAGGGCTCCTCTAAGAGGTAGTCTAAAAGGTATAGACTGGTTTGGGTTTCTTCTTTTAGGCTCAATTCTCAGTCCTCCAGGCACTTCAGAAGTGGTCCCCCCACTCAGCAGATGCCGGTTTCTGAGTTTAAGTCTTAATGCTTTAAAGGTTTATTCTTGAATATGTAAAACACTTCCTCTATTTTATTACATAGACAGTAAATATACAGGTTTAAATTTTATAAGGCTGCTTGGAAAAGTACCTTTTGGTCTTTTATTTTTTTAATCTGTGTATTTATTCAAGGTAACTCCTGAGAGTTTTCAGACCATCAAGTTGCCTAACTGTACACAGGAGCAGAGTTGAATGGATGCCTAGGCTCTGGTAGAGACATTGAGAAAACACAGACGAGGGAGAGAGCTGGTATGGGGGAGACATGGAACAGGATGGCGCAGCTTGGCTTAGATAAATGGAGAAGGAAATAAGGAAGAGTCCTGTAATCTCTTGGTGCGACATGATATTGAAATTCAGGATCATTACCTTGCCTGCACAAAAAGGAACAGTAATATGTGGCCAAAATACAGATTGTGAATAAGCTAAACTATAGTTTGGCCCTAGGCAGGCAAACATGAGTCTGAGCCAATGATAGTTGAGTTTCCATCAGAAAAGGACAGTTTCTTGTGTGTCTCTGCCTAAAGAATGACCTTTCCCTCCCTGAGACGTGGCTGAGTACAAGCTTTCAGGAAGGACTTCTACTGAGGGGTGGGAGCACGCAGAGGCCAGGGAGCCTCAGCCCTGTGAGCTAGCTGTGGGGTACAGGTCATATCCAGACCGTCTCCCCGTTTTGGAGAGGCAAAATGGGGAAAAGCCTAAAAATTAGAGAAAACTATTTAGTAGTGAACAAGAATGTTCAGATAAATTTTTTATCTTGAATTTTTGTTATGCACACCAGTCAAGAGACAAAAGCAGATCATATTTGAAACTGTCCTTTGTGTGAGTGTCATTTTGCTTCCTTTCTGTTCTTTTTATCAGACTCATTCAAAGAAAATGCACATGAACAAGTGCATCCTCTCTCTTCGAGACCTTAAAGTGGCTGTCATCGAGGAAATACAGTGCCTGGTACAAGAACTGAAGAACATTCAGTCAACTCTTCACGTATCCAAGCACATCCCCATTCCGAAAATCCCTCAGATACACCCGGAAGAAGTTCCTGAAAAGAGATTTCACTATGATGAGGAAATTCTCCTAGCTTTTAAGCAACAGAAGATGAAAAATGAGAATGAAAATGTCCCTCAAATGGAACGGGCAGGGTCTACAGGCGCAAATAGAGGATTCCTTAGAATCTCTTCTTTAAAGGACGGGGATTTGACAACACGAGAGTCATTGTCTAGATCATCAAAGGCATCAACATTCATTCTAGAAATTTCAAAGTTAACAGAATTTGAAAAAGCAGATCCAATTGATGTAGAGCTGGAGATTATGAAGAGAAATGAGATTAAAAACATGTACATGCAACAGTATTTGGCCAACAGGGTAAGGGGTGAGACTGTATTTAAAACTAAAAAAGAGTGGAGCAGGGAGGTAGATCTAGTTTCTTTCTCTCTTTCTTATTTATTTATTTAAAAGTTTTCTACATTGACCTTCCCCAAACACTGTCCAGCCCACAACTGACTAATGGCTTGGCTTCTTCCCCATCCTGGTTTTCTGAAAATCATTGCGCTCTGCCCCAAAATTTGGAGCTTTAGAACTTCTTCCTTTTTGGAAAGCTGACTAAACATTAGGGACAAATCCATGTTATTTGGGGCATTTAACTGAAATCATGGGACAGGGGAAGTGTTGGAGCAGCTTTCACATGATGGATGGAACATCATAAAAACCTTCCAGAGGAAATGGGCCACCCTCTACTTTTTATACCGTCCCTTTTCTCTGTGCGCTTTGCTCCAATAATGGGAATGTTCATCGTAATAAATGGCTTCAAATTGTTCTGGAGCTAGAATGCCAGCTTATTTTATTCCTAGGAAAAGCAGGACCAGACTGGGACCAGTTGTGCAGGAGGTACTTTGAATCTGGAAGGAAAAAGACCTTTCCTAAATAGATAGCTCCCTGCAGCCCGCCCTATGGAGTCCTTTTCCTCATTTTGTCTTTTCCATCTAGGCACCCCCTATAGCTTTCCAACTTTGTTCTTCACCATTATCTCTACTTTATCCAGCCCAGTATTCTCACTCTTCCTGCTTCTTCCTACTCTCCTCCCATCCCCCAATTCTGTGTTTCCTATCTGTGCTTTTTCCTTTGCTATTTCCTTCTACCTGCAATGACTTCCTTCCAAAGCTGAGTCATCATTCAAAACTTAGTGCAGTTCCAAACCCTTTCCAGATCTTCTGCCCACACTACATGCTCTCTTTTTTTAACCTTCCATTGCACCTATAACCGGCACATCATGTTTTGTACTAATTTTTCTTGCTGTTGTATGTGTTAGTTTTGTCTTGCAATCTAGGTTATACAGTTCTTGAGAGAAGGTACATAAACTGATTCCCCTGCAGTGGGTAGGACAATGCCAGACATATAGTAGGTACTCTAAAAAGTTTTGATTTAATTGAGTAATTTATTAATTACAAAATATTTATTGGATATCCTGTGAGCATGGACAGTGTTAACTAGGTAGTAGAGATTCATTAGTACTCAAATCAGACATGTTCTCTATCCTCAGAAAGCTTATAGGCTGTCAGGGATAAGAGAGAATAGAACAAGTGACACCCATACAGAGTTGGACATCTATGTAGTACAGCTTCAGAATGCTGTTGTAGTAAAAAAAATATAGTCCTTCCTCCAAAGAAATCTTAAAGTAACTCAAATTTGTTGGACGAACTTTTATGGAGAGCCCACTTATAGTCTAGAGCCACACGTAAGTTTAATTTTTTTCTTTTCTTTGTTTTTTTCTTTGTCTGTTTTTAAGCTACATGAAATTCTCCAGCCGTTTTACTGCCCCAAGCCCACAGATCCCTTCACCGTTCTCAGCACCAGTCCGGGCCCTCACTCTTTATAAGAGTTTGACCGTTGGTCGTGTACAGCCCAGAGAAAAGACATGAAATGGTGGGCCTCCCCCTATTGTACTAGTTTCCTCAGGAGAATCAGCCCTTGAGGCTCTCTCTCGATCTCTTCATCTCCTTTGTGATGGGGGGTGGGGGGAGAAGCTGTGCAAAAATTCCAGCAAAACCGAGGATTTAAGATCATTAGGAGGTCAGATGAGTAAGGTCTAGACCAGGACTTGGGATACTTAGGTTCTTACCCCAGTTGTGTGACAAATTAGCTTCGACCTCAGGAAAATCACCTTTAGCCTCAGTATCTTCATTTCTGAAATAAGATTAAACAGGGTTCCTGTGTGCCCATGATTATATGTATGTACTTGAAAATATTTACTCTGTAGGTTTGAAATTTTTCACAATAAGGAGTTGAGGGAAATACTTATTTAGTGTTTACTGTATGCAAAGGCCATGTAGAAATACTGTGGGGATATAATGGAGGTAAATATAAACACTACCCACACATAGCACATAGTCTCTGACTTATACCATTCAGTACAGCAAGAAGGGCATTCTTGATCAATGGCTTCTTCAATGGTAGAGAAAGAGCTGGAAGAACTGCAGTTAAAGAATTTTTACCACTTAATAAATAAATAAATTTATGTAAATGTAAGATGATTGATGAATGATTTATATGATTAGACACAATCATACATACCTATTTAATTTTCCAACAATAATAAGCTCAGAATGAGAAAATGTTTTCATCCAAATTAGTATTGTTAGATAGCTTAAAAAACACGTTTACCTGTTCTTCTAATATATCCTCAAATCTTTTTCTACCTCAGATCAAAGAACTGATTGTCACTTTTGATGCAGAACTCCGTCTCCTGAGACATCAGAAGCTGAAACTAGATACTCAGATGAAACTATCTGACCTGCACCATGTCACATTATTTCAAGAAATGCTTCTCCTCAAGAATTTTGAAAAACAGGAGAACATACTTCAAAAGAATGTTAATTCATTAGACAAAGAGGAACAGGACATGCAAGTATGAATGGGCAGGAGAATGCAAGCTGGCTGCGCCCTGAGTTATGGAGGGAACTTAAATCTTCTTTTCTTTCTTCTTCTCAACTTAATTTCCCCTTGTCTACTCCTCGTCTCTTTCTTGTCTTCTCTCTTTTCTCATTTTCCTGATCATTCAAGCTTGCTCTCTGTTTTTGGTATCCTTGGTCAGAGAGAAGTGAGTCAGGTTTTTTTAGTGAATCTGATGTAATATTTTGTAAGGTACATTAGAACAACATTTTCAAAAGTAAGCCTTTTACTTAGTTTATCTGTGCATTTCAAAAGTTTGTGTTTTTGTTGTTACTACCTACCATGTGAAGTTAAGTTTTGATTCTCTGCTATCCTTACATATATAACTGGAAAAGAAGTCAGGGAGTTTCTTAAATATGATAGCTAGTGTCAGAGTACTGTATAATTAAATGTCACAGGAAATGGTTTCTCTATCTGTATATATGTTAAATTTAAGGAGGTAAATTATACCACCTCTTTGTCTTAAGGGAAGAAAGATTCTATTAAATAGATATTACATACTGATAGAGACATTAGTTTTTAGGTATTTCAGCTTCACTAAGATATGATGTATCTTTTTTTTTTTAGTTGTCATATGAGGTGGGCAAAAAAATATCTTCATTTGTTCTTGTTATTGTTCATTTAGTGGAAAATAAATGAAACTCTTAAGGAGATGGAAGAGAAAAAGAATGAAATTACCAGGCTCCAGGACCAAGAAAAGGCACTCTATGCTGGTTTCCAGACTGCCCTTGGAGAGAACAATAAATTTGCTAACTTCCTCATGAAGGTCCTAAAAAAGAAGATAAAGCGGGTGAAGAAAAAGGAGGTTGAAGGAGATGCCGGTTTGCATTTCTTTCTTTTATATGATAATATTTTTTATTAGCATGGGGTAGAGAAATAGAGAAATCATCTATGTTCACCATAGCATAGACAATGCAGAGGCATTGTGGGACTTAAAGAGGCGAGGATATGAACGATTTAGGTCTCTATAGGTAAAGTATCACTTTTTTCTTCACTGCCACATCAGACAATGTGTGTGTGTGTGTGTGTGTGTGTGTGTATAATTAACTTGAAAATAAAAGGAAGGAAAAGATATGTCATGCAAACACTAATCAAATCAAAACAGGAGTGGCTACGTTAATATCAGATAAAGTAGATTTCAGAGAAAAAAAATTACTGGAGACAGAAAAACATTGTGTAATGATAAGTGTCAATCTACCAAGAAGACAAAGCAATCTTTAATGTCTATGCTAAAACAACAGAGCTGCAAAATATGTGAAGCAAAAACTGATAGATGTGAAAGGAAAAATAAAGAAATCTATGATTATGTTTGTAGGCTTCAACCCCTCCCCCCAACATTTGATAGAACAACTATACAGAAAATCAGTAAGGATATGGAGGGCCCAAACAGCACCATCAACCACAAAGATTTAATTGGTAGTAATAAAACACTTCACCCAAAACAGCAGAATATATACTTTGCAAGTAAGTGTCCACAATACATATACTAAGATAAACCATATGTTAGACTATGAACAAATCTCAACAACTATAAAAGAATTGAAACTATATAGAATATGTTCCCTAACTACAGTGGAATGAAACTAGAAATCAAGAATAGAAAGATAATAGAAAAAGCTTGAAACACTCAGACTTGAATAACACTCATCTATAGAATTCATGGGGTCTAGAAGACATCTCAGTGTAAATTTTAAAACTATATTGACCTAAATGAAAATGAAAATGCAATTTATTAAAACTTGTGGCATACAGCTAAAGCAATGTTGGGAGGGAAATTTACAGTGCTAAGGTAGAAAAGACAACAAGTCTCAATCCAGTAATTTAAGCTCCCACCTCAAAACCTCAAAACAGAAGTGCAAAATAAACCCAGAGTAAGCGAGCAGAAGGGAGGTAACGCTAAAAGTAAAGGCAGAAATCAATGAAATTGGAAGCAGAAAACCAATAGAGAAAATCACTTATATGAAAAGCCAGGTTGTTTTCTAGAAAATCAATTGATTGAGAAACCTCTAGCAAGAGTTAAAAAAAGGTAGGAAGAGAACAAACAAGGTACTAATATCAATAATGTAAGGGGCGATATCATTATCCTTTAATATCAGATATTAAAGGATAACGAGGAAGTACAATGAGCATCTCTATGCATATAAATTTGACAACTTGGATGAAATAGGCAAATTCCACAAAAAATACTACCATGACTCATCCAATATGAATAGATAATTTGATAACTAGTAAGAACATGAAATTAGTCATTTCATAACTCCCCTGAAGAAATCCACTCGTCTAAATAGTTTTACTGGAGCACTCTACCAAACATTTAAAGAATTACCACTCTTCTACACAGTATCGTCCAGAAAATCAAAGAGGGGATGTGGGAGTGGGACCACAGTTATTCTCTGTGGTATTTGGGTAGGTATTGTCTAAAAGTTTGCTAAGCTGCCTCTTTCCTGGTCATTTAGCTAAGGAGAGCAAGCTGTTGTTGGGCCTTCCTGTGTCTGCACCTGTTGGTATTTCCAACTTGCTCAATTATTCATCTCCAAGTCTGAGATATGAGGCAAAAAGAAGAACCAAGGAACTCATCACAATGGGTTTTTTTTTTTGGGGGGGGGGCGTTCTGAGGTGCATAGCTGGTCTGCCTTCTTTTCCGCTTTTCAGAGTCTTCTTACGTTTGTTTTACATGTAATGTCCTGAGTTTCTGGCTGTATTTAGTGGGAGAAATAGAGAACAGTAGATCTATTTCATCCCCCTCAAAACATTTTAAGGTCTAAATTTACATTTTGATGCTTTATTTTATAAGTTGGTACAGATCACTTAGAGTAATTTTAAGAGAGAGATTATACTTAAGAAATCTTCTAGAGAGTATGAGTTCCACCTCTTTAATTTGATGTTTTGTAAAATAGAAATTTCCAATTAGTGACCTGTGGTTCATAGAGGCCCTCAAGAAAACAGAGTTGGGTGGGGGAGGCTTATAATTCTTTACCCAAAACTCTTGGGGGCAAGTGTGTTTTAGTACTCAAAATTTTATATTTTATAAAAGATATTGTCTATGACATTATTTAAAAAAATCATAACACCTGTTAAGTTATTCATAACACTTGGTAAAGAACAATAAGGTGGACTTTATTTAGGAGGGGCTACTGCCCTCCTAAATAATGGGATTTTGTGGAAAGGAAGAGAAATCAGCGCAACTCTGAATACAACAAAGAAAAGTGGAGATTTATAACCAAGGAGGAGGTTGGGGGTCAATGGACGAAAAATTACTCAGAGGTAATTCTTTGCTAAACTGACCTAACAGGATTTTGGCTGAATACAGGTCAATGTGATAAGATTGTGCGCAGGGACTAATGATTTTGATCAGATATCAAGGGTACGGACTAAACTGACAAAGCAGGATTCTTCATAAAACTGGACTAAGTGGGCCAAGGGCAGTACCCGAGATCAAGGACTAGTCAGAGAGAAGACTCAGAGGGGACTGACTCAAGTTTGGCCAAAGGAGAGAGTCTTTGTCAACCCGCCCCAGCAGGGCTTGCTGCAGGATCTCTAAATCAAACATCTCAATAGTTCTGCAGCAACACATGAATATTCACACTAAGCAGGTTAGATAAAAATTATAAATAGCATTACTTCAGGTCATATAAGTTGTGAAAATCTTCTCTGCTTTCCGGGTAGTGTGGGTTGCGGGCCTGTATGACCAAACGTGTGTCAGGTGGGTCACACACAAGCAGTTTGGCTACGTGTTCTCAACCCTCTCTCACTCGATGGATTGAAATTAATTGCACAACTTTCTGCAGGCATTTCAGTTTGTGGTCTCTATGTCTTTAACCGTTCTAAACTCTTCTAAAAAACATGAAGTAATTTTCTGCTTTTTCTTTGTTATTTTCTTAGTGACTAACTCATTAAAAAACATCTTATTTAAAAAATCTGGGATTTAGCTTAACACAAGAACTTTGGCTTATTAACAGTGTTTTACTTTCTCCTTAGATGAAGATGAGGAGAGTGATGAATCAAGTGAGGAAGAATCCAGCTTGGAGAGTGATGAAGATGAGTCTGGATCTGAAGATGAGGTTTTTGATGATTCTATCTGCCCATCAAGTAAGTTGGATAAAACCATGTGTTCTCTATGAAGTGTGGAGTGGACCATACCAAGGAGGTCTTTTTTTTATTTTATTTTTTTTTTTGTCTTCTCAATTACCTCACAATAACAATTAAGGAAAGGGTGATTTAAGACATATGAAGTACAGTTTAATATAGTATTCTGGAGGCTCTTTGGATAATTGGTTTTCTGTTTCTTTAGGTGGCCATAGATGAGTGACAAATTAAATTATCTGCAGACTATTCATAGTTGACTGAGCAGCATTAATGCAGCACATTTCATTTTATAGAGAAACAAAAGATGGTTATATATATTTTTAACATTTTTCTTTTACAAAGGTCTCTCTCCTTGACAAACCCATTCACATTTTCCTGCTTCAAATCTGTTCTGTGAAGGCAGTTTTTACCAGTTTCCTGGTGGTGCTTGGCAATTTATATTCCTTGTTTTCACCACTGAAACCAGTCGGAAGTATCCTGACCAATATTCTTACAGTTTCAATAGATAAATGATTCAGTAGAAAAAATTTTCTTCTTAGCCCGAAGTTTATTTTTGTAGTCATTTCCTAAAAATTATAAATCAAATTTTAAAGTTTAATTCCAAATAAATTTTAAATCTTGTTCTGATTTTGAAAATAAGAGTCGTATTAAAATCATAATATTTATGAGTTGAAGAAAGCTAAAAAATCTTGTAGGATAGCTCACTGTTTTATACCAGGATTCAATGACTTGGACAATCTCACAGCTACTTTAGTGGTAGAACTAGGGCTAGAACTAAGGTTTCTAAATTCTGTTGTAGTACTCATTGTAATTATATTTTCACATTCTTTGTCTATTATCAATACTTGGTGGATAAATGTGGAAGTTAATAATAGAAATAGTGACCTTGAATGCCTTCTGTCACATATCAGCTACGATATGTCACATATCATATATATGATATGACCTCTCTGAGCTTCAGAGTCCCTCACCTATGAAATGAAAACAACAGTTTCTACCTTGCAGAACCTAGAAATGAGCCTTGAATGAAATAATGTACTTGAAGGGCCTAGCACAAAGCCTGCCGCAGAGTACTGCTCTGAACATCAATGCTAGTATCATAATCATTATCATGATTATTAATAATTTTTACCTGGGCTAAAGGAGCCCTAAGTGTAATGAAACCTTGTTAGAGTAGATCCACAAGTGGACATTAATAATTCTGAAGCTCCAAAGTCCACACTCCCAGTATCATTACGTTCCATAACAAATGGGGCTTTTTAAAAATTTTGCCTATCTTTTCAGATTGTGATGTGGGTCTTTTTGAGCTGGCGCTCCAACTTCGAGAGAAAAGGCTGGACATTGAGGAGGCCTTAGTTGAAGAAAAGAAAATGATTGATAACCTCAAAAAAGAATATGACACATTGTCCAAAAAAGTACGGTGCTTCTCCTTTTTCAGGTCTATTTATTCTCTCCCAACATGTTGTGTGTTCTCCCAGGTATAATGTTGCCGTTTCATAGCAGTGCCATGGTTTGAGACTTCTTTAAAGAGAAGAAACATTTCACACATTACCTCCAGTGTCTTTTTCTTCAAGCACAGTCACGGTGGGGACCATTGGAGTATTGTAACCTGAATCATTGGTTCCCAAACTTTTTTGATTACATACTTATATACATTAAAAAAAAATGTGTGGCCCATGTACTCACACAATATATATTTATTTATAAATTGTGTTTATGAACTATTGTACTAATACACAGTTGACTCTTAAACAACATAGGTTTGAACTGAGCAGGTCCACATATAACACAGTAAATTCTGCATCCCTAGGTTTTGCATCTGTAGATTCAGTATTTTCGATCCATGGTTGGGGGCCCCTGGGTGTGGAAGGCTGACTTAAGTTATATGTGGATTTTCGACTATGCAGGGGTTGCCACCCCAGATCCCCCACATTGTCCAGGGTCAACTGTATTTTGTATATTAGGGAGCATTTATAAAAACAAGAATTAAAAAGAAAAAGATAAAAGGAAATAGAAACTCAGGTATTTTCTTTCTTTTTTGCTGGGGTGTATGCTAAACTTCGGGTATAATTGTATTGATTAATATTCGCTTTATCTGCTCATTTTCCATCTTAGGTATCTTTCCTAGAGCAACATCACTTAACTTGATTAATATTCAGAACTATTTTTGATAGATTGCATCTCCTCTTTCAAACAGGAACTGATTTGGAAAACTGTCAAGTGTTTTAGAGGACAAAGAATGTGCTACAGAAATGCTATAATTAGTAGTTTCATTACTTTAAAGTCTGCCTCCTTTAATTTATTGAGTCCATTATGACCGAATATGATTCAAATCATTCTGACAAAGACATTCCATACTGAGAGAGACTTTTCATGCAGCAAACAGAAGGGAGATGAGGACATGTCTTCTGAGCTCACATTCACCAAAACTTACAACTCTGGGGAGGTAGCGAGTGGCTGAAAAAAGTGTAGATCATGACTTAGCAGGATGAAGATAATATATATTTCTGGCCTGGAAACTGGGATCATCCAGTTAATCACAGCCCAACAAAGCAGATCTTGCTCATGCTTTTACTCCCCGCAGGATGTCCTTATTTTCCACCTTTGGTGTGTGTTTGCCGAATCTTGTCACCCTTTCACTCCTGGGGCTTCCCGCAGGTCAAAATTGTGGCGACTAACCTGAACGCAGCGGAAGAGGCGCTGGAGGCTTATCAACGAGAGAAGCAGCAGCGGCTGAATGAACTGCTGGTTGTGATTCCGCTTAAGCTCCACCAGGTGATGGGTCTCGAGGGGTTGCCCCACCCGGCCTGAGCAGAACCTCCACACACAGGCCTTTCCAAAGAATGATTCGTGGGTCACTGATGGGGAGAAGAGCAGTCTTTTGTTGAGAATTCTACCTGTAGAATGATACCCCTACTTTTCTTATCCACTCTCAGGTTGTTGTAAAAGAGTCACATCAAATCCTATGTATTTCTCTCCAGCCTGTTATTCACCTGGAAGTTGAATCATGTCAGGCCTGGAAAATGAGGTGCCTGTAACTTAGGAATGGACTGGCGTGGCGGTTGAAATCTTGGATCTTGCACATGTGTCTCTTTTCACACCACATTTAAATAGGCATGAACTAACGATGCAAGGGTTATCTTCATTTAATCCCCACTCATTAATGGTAGAAATAAAGACAAAAGGAAATATTCTCGCTTTTTTCCCTTTTTTTGTTCATTTCCACATTTCACTTGAATTATAACATATTAAAATGCAGAGATACATACCAGAGAGAGAAAAGGCCCATTGTACAGTATTTTGCCAGGTACGATGACCTGGCAAAGAGAGAACAGCGTATCTTAGAGGAAAAATCCAAGATCAGCCTTACGTATGCGGTGCATCTGTGTTACGACGTGCTGTTGAGTTGGCGCTGACTCTGGGGGACCCTGTGAATGAGTGATGCCCACAACGTCCTCTCCTCAACAGCCCTGCGTAGCACTCACAGATTCATGCCTATAGTTTATTTTATGGAGTCAATCCATCTCATATTTTCTTCCTCTTTCCCTGCTGCCTTCTATTTTCCCAGCATTATTGTTTTTTCCAAAGAACCCTGCCTGGTTAGGATGTGCCCGAAGTAAGACAGTTTCAGTTTTGTCATTTTTGCCTTGTTTCCTCAGCAATGTTTCTGGTTTAATTTGCTTTAGGTAACCTGACCCAAACCGGGTTAGCTGTATGTGTCAATTTGCCCAGTATGCCAACCCTGAAACCTGAAATATTTGTTCCATCATTGTACTGTAGATATCAGCCATGATCTGTGTGCGAAGGCTTGCTGTCCCCAGATGGGTAGAGTCTGTCTAACCACTTGAAGGCAACCTCCTGCTTTCACATACTTCAGGTTGATAAAAATACAAGCCCAAAGACAGTGACCCAAACAAGGAATAGAAGAAAGTGCTTCCCTTGTGCTTTCTATGACTTTACATTTAGTTTGATCTTTGTGATTTTTGTCTTATTTTGTTAGATAGAATATGTGGTCTTTGGAGAAATACCTAGTGATCTTTCTGGAACTTTGGTCTTTTCCAACCGCTCGTTGGGACGGCTGCAAGAACGCATTGTACAGCTCCAGGAGGAGAATTCCAAGCAGCAAAAGCTTAACAAAGAATGGCGGGAGAGACGGAAACAGCTTATTCGAGAAAAGAGAGAGATGGCAAAAACTATAAATAGTGAGTAACTGAGGCCATGGCTTATCTAGTAATGTTTATTGATATTTACTGATAAGTAATATTTATTGATAAGAGGGAACTCTCAAGTGACTAGTTCCACCTTTGAAAACAGTAAGTAATCAAAGAATCAAGAGGAAACAAGAACACCTTCTCATATTCCTACTTAACTGTCTCTCCCGATACCATTAAATGATCACTGTCCTATTTTAAACAGATGAATTTTTATCATAGAAATGATTCTCCTGAATTAGAAAAGATTTTATGTATAATGAAATATAGAATGATATAATAATAACCCATGTATCACTACCACGCTTAAGAAATAAAACACTGAAGATACCCTTGAAGTCCCTTCTCTTCCTGATACCCCTCTGCTATCTCCTTCCCTAGGATCAAGCACCAGGTGAGTATACATGCATGTGTACGTGTCCACATACAATATGTGAAACTACTTTTAACTGTAATACTATATTACTCATATAATTTTATGGTTCACTCTATTAAACGAGTTTTTTAGAGTTATCCATGTTGCTGCAACAGTTACTCATTATAAGTGTTATTACAATGATTTTCAATGAGTGTGCTGCAAGAATTTTTGAAACATGAAATACCTATTTACTCAGAGGCACTGCCTTCTTTTCCCTTAGATTGTCAGATAAAAAAAAAGTGACAACAGCCAACACAACAATAACAATCTGATGTGAATGAATCAAAATTATACCTATTTTTTTTGTCAGATCGGCAACAAATAAATTTTTGGTGTGCTACAGAATTTCAGTAATAAGTTTATGTGTGCCATGAGGTAGAAAAGGTTGAAAATTGCTGTGCTGTAACAATACTCCATTGTAGGGCTCTAAGTCTTCTATTGGTACTTAGGGTAGCCCTCATTTTTCATGATTACAGACAGTGTTACAGGGAACCTTCCTGTACACATCTCCCTGTGTGTGGGTGGCTCCCAGGATGAGCATTCTGGCTAATAGGGGGACGTGCACATTTTCAGCTCTCAAGGGTGTTGCTACATTGCCTTCTAAAATGGTTGTGCCATTTTAGCGCCCCCCCGGCAGTGAGTGAGAGTTGCCCAGGCTTCTGTTCTCATCAGCACTTGATACTGTCAGACCAATATTTTTGCCAACCTGGTGGATGTTAAACTACACATAACTGAAGTTTTTATTCACGTTCCCTTGATTCTGGTGAAGTTGAACCTCTTTATATACATCTGTTCGTGTTTCCTTTTCTCTAACTTGCCTGTCAAATCCTTTACCCTTTTTTTTTTACTTCTGTTTTTTGTTTTCTTAATTAATTTTAGGGAGCTCTTTCTATATTCTTTGTCCATTAGTGCACTTCAAATCTCTTCTAGTTTGTGGCTTGCCTTTTACATTGTTTGGTGTATCTTCTGGAGATATATTTTAAATCTTAATATAGTTTCTTTTATCTATTTATGGTTTGTGCAGTGTGTGTGTGTGTGTGTGTGTGTGTGTGTGTGTGTGTAGAAACCCTCTTCTTGTCTGATTTCAGAAGCCAAGCAGGGCGGGGCCTGGTCAGTACTTGGATGGGAGAAATCCTTTTCTATTTTAAGGTCATAAAGATATTTTTGTACAGTGTCCACTTTTAGTGGTATTCTTCACATTTGCATTTTTAATCTATCTGGAATTGAGGTGGATAGTACAGGATGAAGTGTAAAGATTTTCTTTTAAAATACTTTTTATAATATTTGACATATGAATATATGTGTAAGTGATGAAGTATTCTAACTTTAATAAAAATAATATTACCAATACCATAGCATCTACCTTAATGCCACAGAACTGTATACTTTAAAATGTATTATTTTAATCATCTTTTGCTATGTGTATTTTGCCACAATTAAATAATTTTTAAAGGAAAATTTAAAAAAGGAAAAAAATGGGAAGAACATAGTGGTCAATCCAAGTTGCTTGGATTTGTAGAGGCCAGTTTCTAGAAAGTAAATGTCGATGGTTCTGCCCTCATGGGTGGTTGGATTATTTTTTTAAAAAAAGAGAAGAGGAAGAAGAAGAAGATGGAAAGAAAGAAAAAAAGGAAGGAAGGAAGGAAGGAAGGAAGGAAGGAAGGAAGGAAGGAAGGAAGGAAGGAAGGAAGGATGTTAATACTCCATATTTGTTTAACACTTATTTGAAACAGTTTTCTCAGGTGTAAGCCTTGAGGTTCCAAAGTTTCTCATATATTTCACATTCTTTTGGCTTCTGTAGCCTGTGAATTTTGTTTATATTTAGAAGTACTCCTCATCAAAACAAGGAATAAACTAGTATGAAAAATGAGGAAGCTTGTTTCAATATGAGTAAACCCAGTTTGGGAAAATGTGTGAAGAAAATAGTGAAGTATCACATTTTTGGTGTTAGTTAAAATTAAAAAAAAAAAGTTCCATGTGGTGGGAGTTTTATTCAGTGACTTGAGTTCTCTCACCTCCAGCCCATTTTGTGAGAGCAGCTTGTGAGTCGTTAAAGACTGATTTCCTAATTCTGAGTGTGAAACTGAGAGTGAGTTCCTTTCCTGTAGCTCAGAGAAAAAAAGGCTGAACAGTGATGAGAAACACTGCGCTTGCCTTGCAGTTGCCCTCCTCTGACCCTGGAACCAATGGGGAAGCAGAGGAGAGTCTAGAATGTGGGCATGGGAAAGGGTGAGTTCTCTCCACTCCAAGGAGGGCACGGCTCACAGCCATGGGGAAGGTGGCTGGTGAGGGGTCTAGAAGCCTCGATGTCCACAATAAAAACTAGCTGGTTTAATGGAGTCAGGAGAAGATGCATTAGGCTGGTTTCACAGGCGGATGGCAAGGACCCGAGTGTGTGTCCTGGTCCACTGCCCCGGCGGAGGTTAGCCCCTATGTAGGGCTAGCTGGAAGGAAGTCAAGATTGTTTCTAAGAGAGGCAGTGGCAGCCGTAGGCTGGCCACATGTGTGCAAATAATTTAACTGTTTTATTTGCATCACCGATTTTCACAGCCACATTACACAAGTCAATGGTGTTGCTACTCACACAGAATAGAAATAAATAACCCCATCCTGGTTTGTGCAAAGTGGTAGCCTCGCTGTTTACACTGTTACAATTCAATTGCAACAATGATACCTGAATAGAATTTCTCCTCTATAACTGTATCATGTTATACTCTAGGGCCTCAGACTTCACTTGAAGATAGTCTATGACTGAGAAAGTCTTGTCACAAGATTACATTTTCTTGAGGTGCTCCAGTCCTGCTAATGGAATTTTGTCCAGGTGTTCAGCATTCTCACATTGGGGAAAGACAATAAACAAAGTAAAATATGTTACTTGTTAGTTAGAGATAATTGTTAAAAATAAACATTAAAAAGGACTGGAGGAGCCAGGCTGAGGTCAGGGGGAGGATGGGAAGAGCTCTCTGGAAAGGTAACACACCTGATAAGATGTAGCTCTTCCAGGTTGGAGGACAAGGACCTGCTGCTGCTAGTTACACCTGCAGAATTGGGTGTACTGGAAATGGGTCTTTCACAGGTCTCACAACTTGTTTTCCGAACATGGGCTGGGCAGAGTGCGCCCTGAGGCTATTTGGGAAACAGCATTCCAGACAGAGGGAACTGAGATGGGGGCAATCCTGGAATATTTGAGATATAAAAAAAGGAGTCCAGCATGTACAGTGAAAATGAAGAGAGAGTATGAGAAGGAAGGTAGGAGAGGTAATACGCCAGGGCAGGGCAGGGCCTCATGAAACGCTATAAGGACTTACAATTTTTACTTGGAGTAAGATGAAAACCTTCGTTAAGTGCCTGCTCTATTCTTAACACTGATGCTATAGAGATCAATAAGAAAATAATTAAAAAATGGAAGAGTTTATAATCTAGTTGGAGTCCATTAACAGTCTGAGGAGGGGCAGATCAGGATATATAAGCCAGGTGGGAAAGATGAGTCTGTTTTACACAAGGTTTTGAAGTGGATGAAAAGATAATACAAATGGGCATTTTCAGTGAAGAAAGTAGCAGCTGAGAAGTTAGAGGAAAAACCAACTGGTAACATGAAATCATTTTCCATCTTCTTACAAAAGCCCTTCCTTTAGAAGGTTCTTGTTATTGGTGTTGCTCATTTAACAACAAGGGGAGCCATTGAGCAATCTGATAGTGACTATCTTCTTTTAGAAATGGAAGAAACAGTCCGTCAACTAATGATCAGCAAGTTTGGCCGTGTGATAGACCTAGCAGCTCTTCAGACACTTTCTGTGAATACAACACTTGAAGAACTCAAAATCAAAAAACTTCGAAAGGAGCTATTGAATGCAAAGGAGATGAAGAAATGGGAGGTATGGCTGAGAGGGCACATGACCTACTTTTGTTCAGTCAGGGTGGAGGCAAGAAATCCTTGTGAGCTGCGGTTCCTGGAAGCATCTGTATAAGCTGCAGATGGGCCTGGGTCTGTGAGCCCCACTCTCCGCCCACACCCCTCCGCTGTGATCTGATCTTAAGCCAATCTCGGGATCTCGGCTTCCTTGTCACTCACTCAGTTGGAGGAACTAGTCTATCTTGGGTTGGAAGCACCAGCACTGGGGTTTGGCATCCAGGGTGCATGTAAATATGATGGCAATATGTCATGAAAGATTACAGAGAGATTTTGTGCTGAGATCTCAGAGCTCTAACAGGGTTAGAAATAGAACCGCTGTCCTATGAGGATCCTAACTGTATTGTCCTATATAGCCTTTACCTGCTGTTATAATCTGGAAATTAGAACACATATGCATAATACATTTTATAGCAAGGCGTGGACTATTCAGCTGGTAGGGCCTTAGAAGAATTTAATGCCTACATTGTGGAGCTGAGAGATGAGGCAGTGCCTAGCTACAGCCTGATTCAAACAGAGGGGCTTTTACAAAGACTTGATAAGCCTGCGAGTCATCGACTTCTCCAGTTTACCGTCTTATGTCGTCAGTAGATAGGGAAGGTGGATGGGTTCCTAGTGCTATCCTGTCTAATCATTTTTTTACCCAAGATTTGCCACTGGGCTGCGAAGAAGTAAATCACTTAAGCTCTTAAGTGTTGGTGTCAACAGGACTGGTCCCTACTAGCAGTCAGCCTGCAACTCATTTCACCCCTCAACCACGGAGGGAGATCAATGTCTACCTTATTTTTACCTACTTTTATCCTTGATTATACTTACATTCTTCCTATTTTTCCTCTAGTTAAACCAGACCCACTGCAGTTGCTTCTAGTTGCATTTTCATACTGACTTGTGATTATATATTTCTATGTGCCTATTGCTCCATTTGCCTGATGGTTTTGATAAATCTGGACATTCATCTCTCTATGTTCTCATTTACTTAATCTACTTTGCACCTTCCTGCCCTGGTAGGAAAAGATTGCTCAAGTGCGACAGGAACTGATGATGAAGACGGAAGAACACACCAAAAAGCTTCACCAGATGAATGACTTATGTATTGAAAAGAGGAAACTTGATTCTCGACTGAATACACTACAGAACCAGCAGGTACGCTTCTTTTCTTCAGAGCATTTGTTGAAGTGGGGACATTCTGTACAGGGAGCTATTCACAGGAATAGTAAGTGCTGGCATTTAAACCTGTTTTTAGACTGCTTCTTGCCCCACCTGGGTCTCTGAGAACGTTGAATTGTTTGTTACTGGCCACGTTACAGGGAGCCCAAAGGCTTACCTTCATTGTAAACCTCTTGGGTGCCAGGAACAGATGTAAGTGCTAATGTATGGGGTTTGCCTTGGCCCTGGAGAGGTAAGGCTATTTAGGTATGAATAATACGAATATAATACCTGAATTTGGTGTCAAACATCTATCTCCAATATCTGCTCATTTAATTTGACGTAAGTGGATCAGAGTCACAAGATGGCCACCTCAGCCCCCTGTTTCACATCCACTTGCCAGCCCCTTCTGTGCTTTTCATTAAGAAAGCAAGTTTTCTGCTTAGGTTCACTTAGCCACCCCTAGCTGCAAGGGAAACTGGGTAATATTAGTGTTTAGCGTCCACAGCCTCTATAGTGAAGGCAGACAAGAGAGAAGCTATTGGGTAATGACAGCCTCTTCTTACTAAGAAGGTCTGCTGTGGGAAGTGAGGGTAACGGACACATCATGGAGTTTTGGCTTCAGGTCACCTGATTCCAGTTCTCAGTAGTACAGTCACGTGGGCCAGTTCGTGCATCTCTCAGTCTGTCTCTGTAGCTGTACATTTGGAAGAACACCATCTAGTTCGCAGAGTTGTTGTGAGGATTAAATGAGGCAGCGTATGTACAGCGCCTGGCAGGCAGCAGAGAGGCCTGTGTGGTCCATGCCTGCCTTTAGCGCACAGTCCCGTTTCATGGAGCATCTCCCGATGTGTCGAGCTCTAGGGTGAGTGCTGGGTCGTGCGGCGAGGTCCAGGCACACTGGGCCTCTCTCTGAGGCATGTGACCTCCCAACAAAGATAATATACATTTAGGTTGAACCATAACAAATGCCACTTTGTTTAGGTTAAAAAGTGGTCCCATGTCATAAATTTCAAATGGCTCAATCTGATGATTACAATGACAGAGGATGGCTCTTCTGACAGAACACAGGGCAGGAAATCCCAGCCTAGTCCACGGGGCAAAGCAAGCCTCCCTAAAAGGGATGTCAGAAGCATGAGCAGGAGCTGGCTGGATGGGAAGAAATTAGATAAGGAAACAAAGATGATTTCCTTTCTGGAAACAAAATATGGCCATGGGCTATATAGAAAAAAGGGGGTACCTTGTCTTTTATGAGTCCAGTGATGAGCCCTCTAAGGTATGAGCGGCAGCCAGCCTAATGAGTTACCCATTTAAAGGGTATTTGCGTTTTAGGAGTTGTTAGCCCGAGGGACACTTTCCTAGTGGTGGGATTTCAGTGAAGAACGAAGGCCTCTTAGAATAAGGAGCCATGGCTTTTTAAATGGACTGTAAGGCAGACACTCCTAACCATCTAAGGACAGGGAAGTTTTTCCACCCCAAATGGTGCCTAAAGTAGGGGGGTGCTTTCTCTCAACAGGGCAATGCCTTCCAGAGCCCACGGAAAGCAGATATTGTGGCGAGAGAGAAGGTCACTGAGATGATCCAACTCCAGGCTGAAAGGATTCTAGCCCTAAAGAAAGAGATTGCCCTTTTGCGGAAGAAAGGCGGCCTTATCCTCCCGCCTATTCAGTCTGCACAGGAGAAGAGATGAGCCCTTGGGCCTTTTAAGTTTGTGCTCTTTCCCTCAAATCCCTCCAAGATTGCTGACATAAAATTCAACAGAAGTTGTTTTCTTCTCCCCTACAACAATCCTGTTAAACTTATTTCAAAGTCTACAACCAGCTCCAGCCATGCAGCTCCCATCTATTACTGAACTGAACCATTTTAGATTGGTCTGGAACCAACTGGATTGAATATAAAGTCTCAGCAGGCTGTCTCTCAGACTGCAAGAAGGTACCTTTAAAATGGCCTGTTTTAGAAAGTGTGGGTTTTTTGTTATCGAAATTTTTAGCCATTGGCAAGAAAAACTGTCATAAATAGCATTAGCCTGGAGTCTGTACTGCTGTTTAAAGGTGGGAGGCCAGAAGGTGAGCTACAGCCCAGCCCTGAGGGCCCCCTGCATTAGCCAAATGAAGATTGAGCGCAAAAGCCCCGACCCATTCCTGGAGGTGACTACGCCCTCAGCCAGGTGTGTCTGAAGTTTCCTCTTCCTTCCCTTACCTGCTCTACTTCTCCTTTCTTATCTTTTCCATGTTACTTACAGCCCTTCATTTTATGTCTTAAAATATTTTTAAAATACTGCTCTTCTGAATATCATGTTACATCTTTATGAGTTTTTCCAATTTAGTTTTGCATGGAAAAAGGATGTTAACAATCTACCAGCTGGCACTATTTCTTCTTGCCGGCAGAGGGTGCACTTGTCCTAGGCCGCCGGCCAGTCCTGGGGTTTTCCTAGACTCTTGTTTATCAGAGTCCAGACTAGAGAAACTAGGCCCTGGCAGAACACCTCTTAGAGAGCCTCTAACACTTAATCTTAAAGAGATTAAGTGTCTCAACGGCATTTCACGGGTAACTCAACTCTACTGAAATCAAGAAGACATATCGCAAGCTTCAGCCTCCATGTAGTTCCAGGTATAAAGGATGATACTGCGTTGGACAGCAAGCAGTAAGTAAATGTTGATTTTAAACCACCAGTGAGTCAACTCTTGGCAATGCTGGTGTATCTTTAGAAAGAAGGAAAGCGAATTTTATCAGGCGCCACATGTTCATGTGCAGCATAACATGAAACTAAATGGAGAAAATACTTGGCTTTCAATACACACAGTCCCCTATAAAGAAATGATTAGTTTCGTTCCTTTCATACGAAGTTTTACCTTAAGTCTGGTCAGTACGAGAACTATGAATCTGATTCTCCTTGCCTACCATACACTGTCTCCCTCTTGGACTAAACAGTTATTAATGTATTCCACATTAATAAAAGCACAACTTACAAGGACAAAATGAGAAACATCTGCTGCTTTTTCCAGATCTCAACTCTTGAGCTGAAAATGTTACAAGTGAGCATTTTCCTCAGATTCTCCAAGACTGAATCCTAAGATCTAAGGAGAACGCTGACTCATACATGACTAAGCTGAAAGTTACAGGGAAGACTAAACATTTATTTAGAAGTTACAGTGTTTGTTTCTACAGAGCTATGTTGCCACAGATTATTGATTCTGGAAGGTCTGTTAATGCTTATAGTACTGTACACATCTGAGTCTATTCTCATGGGCATCTTCTGAAATCGTTGCCCGCAGCACCAGATCTGGCCATCTTCACAGGTGTCTCCTGCCTGTGACACCAGGCTGTGGCCTTTGCTTTACCCCGTGGTCGTCATGAACAGTGTGCCTGCGAGTCTCCCCTTGTGCAGCCTCTTGCCACCTCCTCAGTCTGGGTCTGGCCAGTCTGCGTTCCTCGTGCCTGGTTCATTCCTGTTATGTCGTGGCTTCCTTGTTTTACCTCTCATACTTCCATGGGTAGGATTCCCTACGTCTTTCCAGAATTATAAAAACATATACATTTATTTACAAGTGCATAAATATATAAATATGGCTATTATAGAAAAATAAATACCAATTTCCTCTGTCTCTTTTAAAAAAACAATAGTCTTTCTGGAATATTGGCTTCTGCCTAAATTGTGGGGGGTGGTGTTTCAAACGACACGTGCACTGGTGGGCTGGGGGAGAGCTGTCTCCCAAGCTCCTGTCCCCCGTGGGTCCCTGCGGGGTGCTGGGGACACCACTCTCCTCCACCCATTTGGCAGGATTCAGGACCGTCCACCTCTTCAACTGGTACGAGGCCCAAGCAGCATGGCGGCCCTGAGGGAAGAGAAAAGTGGGAAACATTAAAATCCAGCCTGACAAGCAAGCAAGGCCCAGAGGTGCTGGGTCAATCTCTCTCTGTGCCGGGAGCTGGTTACACTGATCCTAGCGGAGAGAGGGACACCTGCAGCCGGGAGGGGGCCATTTATGCTCCCCAGGTCTCTCACGGGCATGGGCCAGCCACCTACACGTTTCAGTGGTGGGACCATGGAGACTCTCAAGCACTTGGCCTGTACCCTGGGGCAGATGAAATCAGCTTAGCCCACCAAATGTGGAAGGAAGCCCTGCTCCTTCCAGATTGAGGCTGCTGGTCCACCCTTCTGGTATGATTTCTGGTCACGATCACCCCACTTGCAGTTCATCCCCCGATGTGGGGCGGTCCGGCTTTAATGACGCTGGGCCTGGCTGTAGGAGGTGAATTTCATCTCCTAGACATGGGGTTGAGGATCTGCCTGCGGAAACATCATCCAAGCCTCCGCACCATCCTGCACCCAACCAAGTACCCACGCCAATCCCCAAGACACTGGCGCAAGGGAGACAGCGGGATGGGCCGGTGTGCACTGAGCCCCTTGGAGAGAACCGTGCTACGGCCGCGCAGAGAGTTTCGATGATACTGGGGAGAACTTGGCTCCTTAATGATCGATGTAACTTTAGTCCTTAATTAAGAGACAAGACCCAATGAAGCAAGGTATTTTGGAGCGATTAGAGAACACCTCTTATTACGGTGAGAGGCAGTAGGGATTTGTGACTGGCCTTGAAATCAGAGACCAAAGGACTTCTTTCTCTGAACTGAGAAAGTGTCCTTTTCCTTGGCCTGTGAGGACACGGCTTGTCATGTCGGAGAGGGACCCAACCGGTCTGTTCCCGCACATCCACTAGGCTTTCAGGTAGGAAGGAGGGTCTCTCCCGAGTAAAAGCCGTGGATAGCTCCTTACCAAGCACCACCTTCATCGACTCATCTCCCCTTCCTCTAAGTCACTCCTTGGAGGAAGGGGAGGTAAGGGGTGTGGATGCGTACCTCACGTTATCTCCAGCCTGTTTAATTTCCTTCCCGGCCCTGCCCCAGCACGGACCTGGGTGAAAAAGAGGGTCCCACGCTGCTTCCAGCCCAGGACTCTGGGGTCCACTCCTCCTTCCTGACTGGCTGGCTGAAGCGGGCTGCTCCTCCAGGTGGTGGCAGTCCTGGTGGGCCTGGAGCAGCTGGTGAGCCGAGTCATCAGGCAGTGTGTATAAGAAAGAGACCTCATCCGGCTTAGCTTTGGTTCCCCTGCATGCAAGAGGCCGAATGGGGAGGTGAGGTATGGGCAGAGTGGGCCCACAACCCCACCGACCGGCTGCTTCCCTGTCTGAGAGCACCACGGGGGGTAAGAGCTCAGAGAGCAGGGTCTGCTCCCCAATGAACGTCAAGAGATGCTACACCATTTCCATGGGTAGTTCTCGTCTGTATCCATTTTATTCCACGCCAGTCCTAGCGTATTAGAGAATGTGGGGCTGGGAGTCCCGGGCCCTCTGGGCGAAGCCGGCAGCGTGTGGCTCCTCTGGCCTGCCAAGTGAGGGGCGGGTTCCGAGAGGCCACGCCACGCTCTGGAGCAGAAAGGAAATCATATCGGCAAACACAACTGCTCATCAGGTAATGGCCCAGCGGAGCAGGCTGTCAGGTGTGGGGACCCCTGAGTGAAGCACTGGTACCCGCCTCTGAGTAGTGATGGTGAATTTGAGGGCCTAATGAGGGAGTGAGCGAGCCCTGGGTGTGAGAGTGGACGAGTGAAGGCAGGGATGGGATGGGGCCTGGTTACCTAGGAATCCGGTGACTGTGGACATCGTATCCATTGCCAAGAACGGTCTGCCTCAGGAGGCCACTGCTGTCATCCTGCTGCTTGAAAGAAGCAGTAAGGAAAAGGTTGTGTCAGAGGGTCCAGGAAACTTTCCTATTCTTTCTTTAACTGGAAGAGCTGTTTCTGACTAAAGAAAGCCTCACCAGCAGCCCCACCGCTCCCTCTGTACCTGCTTGCCCACACACCCAGGACCCCGTTACCTGCTGACGCTCCGCAGGGCAGGGCTGTGGAGGTTTCATGCCTGGGTACCCCGTGGCAGCCGCGGGGAAGCCCCTGTTCACATGCACCCCATTGGCACAGGCCTGTCCATTGGTGCCACTGAGGTAGGGCTGCCCATTGGCTTGGTGGCCTGGAGGTCCTCCCAGTGGTACCATAGTGTATTGGCAGGAAGAGGAGAGAAGGGCACTTCGCGGATAACCCAGGTCTGTTGTATGCTCTGCAAGGTCAGAAGGATAGAGATCTGCTTAGGCCAAGGAGGCCAGCACAGCTTGAAAAAGTTCCACATGAATCTCAGAAAACTCCTGACCACCCAGGGCACCGCGCTAGAGATGAGAATATTCTCCCTCAGAATATTCTTCCTGTCACCCATTTTTTTCCTACTATCTAAACCTTTTTTTGGGGGGGGGGAGTGGGGTAAGTGTGAGGAGATATAGTGACTAGGGCTTAGGCAAAGGTGCCGGTGGGCAAATAGGAGGAATAGTATTTAGGAGAGGCAAGCTGACTAGATGTGCTGCCATTTGAAGCAGAAATTAGTGGAGAACCGTCAGGGTAACTCAGGATAAGAGGCAGAAAATGTTCGGAGGAAAGAGGCAGGCAAGTGTGAATGTGCGGTCAGAGCAGCAGCTTCAGATGTTAAAAGGAGCTGGAGCCAGCTAAGCCCTGAGCTTCCGAGACGCAGAGAGGACAAACTCCCACGTCTTCGTACTCCTCCACCTGCCAAGGTCCGTGAGCTGGGAGGAAGGGGTCCAGTCTTGGGGTATTCTCTGATCCTCTCCAAGCCCTCCGGTGGACTCCGGAGCTTGAGCTCCGGTGGGTAGGAAGTGGGGAACCTCTGATCCTGCCCTGAGGAGAGGCCTCCTGGGAGGGCTGGGTGCACGTAGCCACCCGCCCCCAACCCTCCCCCCCTACCCAGGCTCCTTCCCCTTGGTGTGGAGGAGCGTGTCTCACTTACTCTGCTTAGACCAGGCCCTCCACAAACAGAAGGGGATGAAGGCAACGATGATGAGGACGATAGAGCCCAGGACGACCCCCACAATCAGGTAGGGCAGGTCACTGGAGCGTGCCACCATGGCCCCTGTGCCCACGGGCCGCTCTATGGTTTCAGGAGGTGGCAGCTGAGGCGGAGCCAGAGTTGGGGGTGGGAGGCCACCAGGCTGACCAGACTTCCGAGCTGTAATTGTGAACACAACTCACATCAGCATCTATGCCTTTGACATTTCCTTCACAACCAATAGAAAATATCCTGATTCCATGAATGTGGGAAATAGGGTCAAATTCACAAGACAGGCCCTCAAAACCCTTTATTACATTAGTGAAGTCTGGTATTACTGAAGAGGGTTGAACTTATATTTCAAAATACACCCCGAGATATTTGTGAGCCAAACACTAGAGTCAGACTGGGTCTTCTGGGCAGAAGTGTTGTGGGGGTTTTCTGAAGAAGAACTGGTGAACTCTATGAAGAACATATTTTAAAAATGCATGGAACCAAACAAAGAGCTGGGAATGGGAGAATTTGCCCACGAATTTGCTTTTCCTGGGCAGATTACCAGATGTGAAATTCTAGGTAGGAGCCCAAGTCACACTAGGTATGAGCCCAAGATGGAAGATGGGTGTGTTGGGTGCGGCTCCCTGGGACAGATGGTAATTGTGAAATGCTAATTCAAAGGTGACAAATTAAGATGGTAAACTCCTCATGGGGTTTTGCTATTATCAAGGTGTACCAGACCTTGTTAACCCCTCTTCACAGCCATCTTCCCCTTGACTTTCTGACACTGCAGGCTGCTGATTTACTCCGGCCTCTCTGACTGCTGCTTCTAACATTTCTCTTTTCCTACTATTTCTTTTCTGCCTTCTCCTCAGACACTGAGAGGTCTTCCTGGACTCTCTTGGTAGACATTCTGTACTCTCATCTCTCCCCATGACTTCAACCTCATGACCGCTACATACCCACACCCACGGCCCTCCCCCAGGCAGGAGACCAGTTGGCTTCTCTCATGGGACACTTGGATTTCAATGCCTCAGAAGAAGCAGATTGTAAGTCTCCAAAGGGTTTCACCTTCTTCCTTTCTCATAGGTCTGTTTCTCTCCCCACCTTCTCCACTTCAATAAACGGCAATGTCACCTGTGAGTTACTTTAAGCTAGAAACCTCAAGGCTTACTCTGAGCTCCTTGCACTACCCTCAGCCCTGTCTTACACACACTTCCTCAGAAAGGAGACCCAGACCATGGGTCTCTCTTTGCCTTTACTTCACGCCCCTGTTCCCTCCCCTCAGGCAATGACTGCAGAGTCACCAGTGACTCTTCTCAATAAACAAATCCAACAGTTACCCTCCTCCATGGCACAGCCCACAGGACGCTTGATGACCCAGTGCCCCGCAACATCCCTGGCCTCTTCCCCGAGCGTTCCCCCTCTAGTCCTCCCTCTGGGCGCCGTAAACTTTAACCATCCGGAGTTACCTGCAGGTGGGTCCAGTCCCCTGGGCCACCTCCCTCTCAGGCCCCCCTCAAGAGTCAGTCTTTCCAAAAGACCAGTGCGAACCCTCCGTGGAGTCTCTGTTCTTTGCCCTGGGCACCCTGGGTGTGACCGATACAGGATTTGGGGCTGTGGATGTACCTGCTCCCTCCCTTCACTGTGTGTGAGAGAAGAGGGCAGGAGTGCGCATGGCAGGTGCTCCTGTTTGTTGAGTAAGTGATGGAAAGCAGTGCAGAGCTGGAGAAAGAACGTGGCCAATGACGGAAAGTGGATGGTTTCCTTGTCTCTGTTCCTACTGCTTGGTGATCGCCTGACTTTGTTCTTTGCAATACACCTACGTTACACACTTCTAGTAACTGCAAAATGGAGATAATATCTATCCACTTGGCCAATGTGAAAATATTAACAAGTTATTATGTGGATATGCTTAACGTGTTTTAATGAAGGACAGAGTCTGGGCTTGCATTAGACGAACTTGGCCCAAAGTGTGCTCTACTGCTAACTGGCTGCATAACCCTGGTCAAGGCATAGAATTTCCTTTCTCGGGGTTGTAGTCTCACGGGGTTGTAGTTAAATGAAATAAAACAATCAATGGAAGCATCAAATGTTATCATAGGAATAAAGTGTTTATAGAAAATTCCTAAGAATGGGTTCCATTCCATGAGTTCATGTATGACTTAGTTCCCAAGTTCCTTGTATCCATCATGATAGAAGACCATTCATACTTAATAGGAGGCACAAGCAAATGGAGGGTTAAAATGACAAAGTTTAGGGGTACTTGGGAAATAAGGAGTCTTCCTGAGATAGAGATACCCTGCAGGGCACGTGGAACGGTGACGTCCTTGACTGCTGACAAGAGCAAGAGGAAAGCAGAGACTCGCCTTTGGTTTCACAGATCATCACGTTGCTGAACTCGCTCTCGCCTCCTTCATTAAAGCACTGCATCTTAATGTCGTAGGAGGTCTCTGGCTGCAGGTGGCTGATCGAGTGCCAATATCTATCCCCTGGAAAAGAGAATAAGAGTCACACGTGGAAATGTGTATCTGGTTTGCTTGGCCTCTAATGGCAGTCAGACTCCGACGGGGCTGGGGCCACTGAGTGGCACACGGGGCTGGGTGGTGGGAGAACATCGGAGAAAATGTGGTAGGTCCCCACCCATGCTGCTCCTGTCCCATCACTGTGGGAAGGAACCGTGTGGATTTATCGATATGAACGTGATGACCCCAGCGTGTCATGGAAGAGCCAGTGACATGGGGCACAGGTGCTTTGTGTCGCACCAGTCCAGGCTTTATATTCTCACTGACAGCGAGACCCCGTTGCCAGGAAAAGAAACTAAATCACACAAAAGTGTTTCTCACCTTCCACCATATCCTTCTTGTAGTCACTATCATTGTCACTGTCTGTGGGTCGATAATAGATATAAAAGCCATGGATTGGGGTGTTGTTGTTACTTGCCGGGATATACTGTAGGGAGCAGAGAAGAAACGATGACAATGGAACAGAAAAATTATCAGGTGAGCAAAACCACTTGGGAGACCCTGGCAGATGTTTCCGATGACATACCCATGCTCCCTAGAGAACACTGTGGAGCTCAATCATTTTGTTTAGCGTAGAGATCCCTCAGGCTTTGGAGACAAGAAACAAACTGCCTTTTCCCCAAAGAGTTAAATCCCCTTCGAACCTGCCTGGGGAGGATGAGCGATGGACAGACACACACTTAAGGGAGGTATCTTAGAAGAAATGCAGGGTTCCTTCCTGCCCAGCATGAAGCTCAGCCCACGCTCCCACCGCGGTCTGTGCAAGGCCATTTACCATCCACTTGAGCATGATGGTGGTCTCATTGACCGCATCGGTGAAGGTGATGTAAGGGCCTGCCACGGGCCTCTCGTATAGGCGGCCGCTGTAGCCTGACACCACGTATGGCTGGGAGGGGGCGCTGGGCTCGCTCTCCCCCAGCATGTTCAGGGCCCGGACTCGGAACTTGTAGGAGGTACCTGGTGAGAGAGACACTGGCTGAACTCAGGAGCTGGGAAATGCCTTTTAACTTTGAGGCCCTGGACCTGGAGGGATCATCTGGGCAGTCCTTCCCCCAAAAAAGCCCGAAAGGACTCATGAGAGTCCCCACCCTCCTCAGAAAGGAGCCATACGGGAGGTGGCTCTGGACCTCTTAGGGAGGGAGGGAGGGCGGGAGGAGGACTTGCAGGACTGAGGTAACACCACCAAACGTGTCCACAGGAACCTAGCGGCAGCTGGAGGACGAGCAGGGAGAACAGCCTCCAAAGCTCCCACTCTCCTTTAGGAAGCCAGGGGGCAGCGTTGGGGTGGGCGCTGGCATGTGGGGATGGGGATAAGGACAGTAGGTAGAGAGCCAGACCCCTACCTTTCTCTAGGCCTGTGATCTCCACTGAGAGCCGGGAGGGAGGGATGGCGCTGGTGGCTAGAATCCAGTCCCCTACTTTCTTCAGCCTCTTGTACTCCACACGGAAGGACTGGATCGGGAAGCCCCCATTCCCACGGGGAATCCAGGTCACATACACTGACGTCTCAGAGGCCATGGAGATAGTGGGCCTGTCTGGAGCTTCAGGGGCTGGGGCAGACCATGCACAAGAGAGGAAGGAAGCAAGAAGAAGACACGATGAGAAGATGGTTGTATTGCAACCAGACTTGGCCTCCTCCTGATAGGAGCCTGTTCTCCGCCAGAGCCCCCCACCCCTGGCGGCTGCGCTGGACCTTCCTAGGGTTAGCTGGGCGGCCCTCTGACAGCTATCCTTCCGTGTTGTCCAGAGCAGGAAGGGGCCAAGGGCCACCTGCTCTCCCGTCCACAGTCTCTGGACCCACAGGGTCAGCAACCCCAATATTGGACTCTAGTGTTTTATTTGACAAGCTCTGATCTCTATTTCTCCCTTGTGATTAACTGGCGAGATGCCAAGAAAATGTCCTAAGGACTCCGGGACCCACAGAACCAAGAGCCCGTTGAACCTTCAGCAATGAGCCCTGAGGCAGTGGACCTGATTCCAGTTATGACCGAACATCATTCCGACCCCTGTGGGTTGCTTGGAGCTTACGGGAGAGGCGGCCGTGGTCTGGCTGGCTGCTGCTTTGCAGGCTGGCCCCAGGGTCATCTCTCTGGATCTGCTGCTCCTTGCTGGCCAAGATTTCAGGTTTGGGCCGTCGTCCTGGGCAGAAATGGGTTGAAATCAGCAAGGGAGCATGCATTAGGTCTCTCTTTTCAGAGTCCTTTCTGCCTGAGGCTCTGTCACATAGTCTGACAAGGAGATTCAAGTAGCCCAGGGCACTGGAAGCATCATCGGATTCTCAGCTCTGCCTGAGTACCCCAGTATTGCATGTGAGTGAAAGGGGGACAAAGGAATGCCAGAGAGGCTGGCTGGTGGCTCTCCTGCTGAAAGGTGTGAGTTTGGCCAGGGCACATAAACCGCAGGGAGGCAGGAGGTGGAAGGAAGGTGAAAAGCTGGGACAAGGTGAGCAAAGAGTCCCACCTGGACCTGGTAGGGTTTTCTCAGGCGCAAGGAAACCCCAAGCTGGGCGCAATGACTGACCCGTACCAGTTCGGAAGGTGACCATGGCTGTCTGGCCTTCTCCTGCGCAGTTGTAAGCTGCCATCTCCACTTCATATAAGCTCCCGGGGTCAAGTCTGGTGAGGGTCAGGCGGTGCTGGTTGGCTGGAACGTCAGAGATGGTCCAATCATCAGAGGAATTTGTGACCTGCTGGGGAAGGTGGCTTGTATGAGGCCCGGCATCTCAGCCTGGAGCTACAGGGAGGCTGTGGTTTGCAAGGAAGGCAAGACCAGAGGGTGGGGGCGGGGAAAGGAGGAGAATGGGCCATGTTGGGGGAAGGGTGGTGGTAGAGGGTATGGACTGGTCCTGAGCTCTGGGACAGTGAAGTCAGGCTCCCTGATCTCCATTCTAGTGATCCCTTCAAAGAAAACTCAGTGGGGTGGGTCAAAAGGCCTGACTCACCCTGCTGAGAATTTCTCCAAAGATCTCCTCTCTCTTTTTGAAAACCTCCCTATTTAACTTTCTTTTTCCTTGCTCTATTGAAACCAAACACAGTTCTTTCAGTTTATATTCGAATAAGAAGACGATGAGGATGATGATAACAGTAGCAGCCCCAGTAGAAAAGGCCACATTTGCCAAGTATTTACCATGTGCTAGGCACAGAACAGAACACTTTATACGCGCTATAGTGCTCTCATGACAACAGCCCAAGAGAGAGATGAGTAATTTGCCGAAGGCCACAACACTAGTGGGCATAGAAACCATAAGCGCAAGCTCATAATCTTAACCTATTTAGAAAGAAAAACAGTCTGGGAGCCACAAACTCTTGGGTTCAATCCTGGCCATGTCTCTTACTAGCTGTGTAACATAAGCAAGGTCCCTAACCTCTCTGATCCCTAAGGCTTTTGTTTCTAAAATGAGGCAAATCTCTCATGTTATTCTGAAGATTAAATTAGGTGATTTATGTAAAGTTTGAAGCTTTGAACAGAGGTTTGAACAGCAGATGCCGGGCCCCTCTCCTGGCGGCCCCACATCCTCCGCTCAGTGAGGCGTCTGCCAATTCATTGCTCCTTTTTCTGCTCCTGCCCTCAGTCCTTGCTTAGAACTGAAGAGCTGTGGATGAACTGTAATGATTATGGATTAATATTAATGGCCTGAAAGTCCTAGCTCTTTAAAGGGAAAAAAAAAAAAAAAAAAGGAACACTCCAGGCTCCTCAACAGGCGATGCTGAGAGGCTGCTTCCTCTCACCCACCCTACCTTTCAGGACAAAGCACTTAACTGCCAACTGTGCACATCTTAGAGAGCCTGCTGGGACCTGAGGCTGTGGTTTGCTGAAGGAATTCAACAGCTGGTAGGAAGGCTCTGAGTCCCAAGCCGAATATTCCAAAGTAGAACAAAACTTGCTATTCAAGGGACAGGGATGGCCTGGGCCCACTACTGTTGGGCTTCCAGGATTTGTCCCCAGGGGAGAAGATTTTACAAACTGAGAATCCCCAGCGGTGCTGGAAACCCAAACACAGTAGCCCAGAGTCTGCAGATGCACCAGGAAATGAAACTTGCTTCATCGTGTGAAAGAGGGAAAAGGAGCTGAATGATTCCCAGACTCCAGCAAGAGAAGGGGGATGAAAAAACACAACCCGAATGCTGGTATCTTTTGATTTCCAAATTCTTTCTGATGTGATGATCCTTAAGATATGTTAGTCCCTGAAGAGAGGAACCGCTTTGAAGACATAATCTCTGCCTTGGCAATGCCCACCGAACCGCTCAGAATGGCCCCCTGGCCGGCGCCTGCTGGAAGCCAGAACCAGCGGGGGGGCCGTCTTCTCGCCGCCCCCGGCCCCCCCCCCCCCCCCCGGCCCCAAGGCCCTTCTGCCAGCCTCTCCCAGCCCTGGCCTCACCCTTCCACTGGGATCAGAAAAGGAAGTAAGAAATGGACCAGTAATTAGTCACTGTCACATCCACTGAGAGGGCGAGTGTGGCCTCCGCCTGGCGTTTCCGGATCCCCATGCATGGCCTTCGCCAGTCTGCCTCTTGGTGAGGCCATTTCGAGGCCACCTCTTGGCCTGAAAAATATTATTCTTGCTCTCTTGCTGGTTCTTATCTCCCAGGGACCATGAGCGTCTGGCCTGCCCTGATCTTTGTCTACAACTCTGAGGTGGAGGTGTCCAGTTACACGGGGAAATGAGGATTAGGACCAGCCCTGCCCCATTAGCAGGGTTGAACAATGCTGCTTTTTGTTAAAAATTTATTCACCTCCTTTTCTGGCTGGCTGTAAAGAGGCCAGCAGGCTGAGCGTTAATATGAAGCTGCTCTGCCTTGGCCCCCACCTAGACGGCAGCTTTGCCCTAGGTGTCTTTCTGACAACCACGGTGTCTCTGTGAACTTGTCCTGACCCAGGGTCTCCTGGCAGAGCACGTGAAGGGAGAGGACAGATGGAGAGGGGCCGCTGGGTCCAGAGCAGGGCAATGGCTTCTGCACAGCCAGCACCTTCCACTGTGCGTTTTGTCTGTTCTTTGGAGGGGAAGAAGAGCTGATAAATAGTTTTAGGTCCACATACGTATATCTTCCAAATTTTCTTCCAAGTGCACGTAGCACTGTTACAAGCCAAAATATGAGTGCATAATAAAGTCTAGCATTACAATATATTATTTCTTATCAAATGATTTTTAGAAGTCCATTTGAGAGCAGTGATTGTCTACTGTCTGTCTAATGACCTGAGAAAGAAAACAGCGTGCACCTGGAACGAACAGAAATGTTTTTCAAGGGCATTTTCCTAAAGGGAACTTCAGGATAACAGTAAGTGAGAATGAAGCCTTGAACAGGGAGAGCAGCTTGCAGGCCCTTTCCTGCTTCACAGGATAAAAGTGTCCAAGAGGACGGGCTGGCTTGGCTGTGTCCTGTACCCCTCAATGCCAGACAGTCCTTCCCTGACAGCTCCCAAAACATTCACCCGGACAGACTCCCTCTGTCAAGGTCTGAACAACATGATGTGCTTTCAGCTCAAATGCCTGCTTGTCAGACCCAGGCCACGATGAATCCTGAGAACTGAGGGGGTCTTTTATAGCCCTTATGAGAAAACACTTGTTCGCAAATATTTGTTTCCCTGGCTCTAGAGCGAGCTCGCCAAGCCAGAGTTCATGCAGGTATATACCCAGCAGAGCTTCATTTGGTTAAAAAACAAAACAACGTGAACAACACATGAAAGAGGGAAGAAGGGAGGGTGGGTGACAGGCAACAGGGAATCTTCACTCTCCTCTGGAACCAGAAGCTGGTGCTGTGAGTTTCGGGGAAGCCTGTGCATGAAGCTCAGACCTGAAGGCAAACGCTCAGTTTTTTCCTCAACACAGCTCTCTTCCCGGGAGGTGGGAGGAAAGTACACAGGAGAAGAGGGAAGGTTGCAATCAGCAGTAGGGACAGGGGTGGGGGGGGGGGAGGGGGGGCGCAGGGGCAAGGGGGAGGGTCCAGGCCACAGGAGCTCAAGGGGTAGAGCAGACAGAGACCTCCACCCTGCCAGAGGGGCGGTGGGCACAACGCCCGGCCCCATACCTTGCGGTATTTCACCACATAGGAGAGGATCGGTGCCCGGCTGCCACCCTCGTGCCGAGGCCGCCACACGAGCTCGTAGGAGTCGGTCCTGGAAGTCCGGGGTGAGCTGAGGATGATGGGTGCCTCGGCAGGAGCCACCTGCCCCTTCTCTCCAGGGCAGCGCAGGGAAGCTGGCTGCACTGACGTTGGAGGCCTCGGGACACCCGGGGGCTCCCTCAGCACCTGGTCCGGGCTTCTGGGTCTTGAGGGTGGCAGGGGAGGTGTGGTGCTGTCCAGGTTAGCATCCTGCCACGGCCTCAGGGTTGTGCCTGGAATACCAAGCAGGAAAAGAAAAGGAGGGAACAGGGTGTTAGTCACCCTGAGCACCTGCTGAGCTGCTGCCTCCCCATAGATTAAAAAAGAGTCAGAGAGAAGACCTGCCATGACCATCAGCTCCCTGAACAGGCTCTGTGGGAAGAGAGAGGTCACGGCCCCGCCCCCAGCAGGCAACGGCAACCTGGTGTCCCATGTCCACCTGCCGTGGCCCAGGTGTGGGAGGCAAGCATCTCTGCAACCTGCCTGTTTTCCTGAGCCCCCACACCAGCCTCATCTAAGATGAACTATCTCAATTTGTTCCTGAGGTACAGGAACCCTGCCCCCTCTCTCCCATGTGTAATACTGGGGGTGGGGGCAGGCCTTCCCTTCACTGTGAGATCTTAACACCATGGCACAACATGGGTCCTTCCCTACTCTCCCACACTGACCTAGAAACGTATGACATGAAGCCAACTGTAAATGCCCCAAGGATCTGATAAGCCAGGAGAGGCAACACTTCTTCCAGGAACCCTCCACACACTCTGCCAACACTGGCTTTTCCTCTGCCTGACCTCCTGCACCACAGGAGGCTGGCCTCTGATAACGTTGATTCAGCATTTCATTATGTGTTATCATTCTCAAATTATTTCCTTGGTAAGTTTTATCTCCTCCATGAGAAAATTCTGGAGGGTAAGTTCCTCGTTGTGCTTCCCTGCATTCCCTTGGTTACCCAGCCCAGTGCTGAGCACACCGGGTGGGGGAGGGGGGGGGGGGGGGGGGGGCGCTGAGTCACCACAGGTGTCCGCTGCCGCCAATCAAGCTGAAGACACACCTCCTTTCCTTTGCTCTGGAGCAGTGGTTGTTAGACTGGGTCTCATGGAACATGAAATTTAAAAACGCATTTTCTAACTGTAATACAACAGTTACATGGGTTATTTTTACTAGTGAAAATCTGCACTCTGATTTTTTAATAAGTTACTGTAAGTTTGAACTTACAACGAAAAGCCACTTCATTTTGTTTTAGGTTCTGGGGTTCTGTTCTGGATTTGAGAGAAGGGTTCTGTGACTATCCCGCTCAACTCCCAGCCCTTAGGTTGCACTCACCTGGCCTGGCGGTCCTCAGCTGGACCACGGCATGGGCACTCCCAACTTCATTCTCGGCCATGCACTGGTAGACACCTTCGTCCTCAGGCCCCACGCTGACCACACGCAGGGCCCTGCGCGACAGTCGGAGGCGCTGGCTGGAGGTGAGGGGCACAGCATTCCTCAACCACAGCACTGAGGGCGGGGGGTTGCCGCGCACCTCACAGGTGAGCTTGGCACTCTGGCCCCATGGGATGACCAGCTGGGACAGCTCCATAGTGACCTCGGGGGGTTCTGCCGGGAAATGAGAGCAGTGGTTAGAGAGGCTGAGTCTCCCCGCCCATGACCAGTCGGGCTGGGGAAAGGACTGCAGGCGGGAAAGACTCCCTCCTTCCCTATAGCTGCTGACAGAGGAAAGGAAAGGTCTCAGTCTCCTTCATCAGAGCCATGGCAGGAAAGGGCATAAAGAGGGCTTCCAGGCCCGTATACCCTGGTCCCTGGGATCCAAGGACCTCCACCTCTCTCTCAGTGGTCCTCTGTCGCTCACCGGGGACGTGACCTCTCAGAAGGCACACGACCCTGAGCCTGAGGTTATGAGCTTCCAGAAATCCCATGCAGACCAAAGAGAAGAACAAGGAGAAGAAGGTCTGCAGAGACACTCACCAAACACCTGGACGTTGTAGAGGATGACCGCTGCCCCAGGCTCCCCTACCCCATTGTCCGCCATGCAGCGGTAGGTCCCGGAGTCTTCCTCGCTAGTGGCGTCAATAAGGAGGTTGCTCAGCAGGAAGCGTGTCTTGTTATAGCCCGCAACACTGGACCCATCCTTGGCCCAGGTAACCCGTGGGGGTGGAATGCCACTGGCCACGCACTCCAGGATAAGACTCTGGCCTTTGGTGACGATGATGGTCTGAGCCTCTGGGGGGTAGATGATGCGTGCCGCCTCGGCAGTGGAGCCTAAGGGGCGAGGGGGGAAAGGACTGTGTGGGGGACCAGGGCTTGGTGTAGAGAATCCCTTCTGTGCCACTTTGGGTGGCCCAGACCCAGGAGGCAGTCTCAGAGATAATGGATTTGGAATCAAACAGCCTTCAGGGGCTTATGGCCTGCATAAAGTGGGGCAAGTTACTTAATTCCCTTGGGTCTTGGTTTTCTTATGAGAAATGAGGACTTTTGCAGGAGCTGTTATAATAAGAAATGAGTTAGCAGTGGAGTAGCACTGTGGACAAAGCATATGTATGGGTGACGGTACGTGTTGGCGGAGAGAAAGATGAGGCAGTGGACAGAGGAACAACTTAAGTGGCGCAGGTGATTTTTCTTGCTTGCACTCAGTAAGTGAACTCTAAGACTGAGGATGAGATGGGATACAAGGATGGATCCATGGTGGCCCCCAAACCCCACTCATGGGGCCCAGTACCCAAGTATCTCCCACAGCATGAGCATCTTGCTGAGCAGGATCTATGGTTTAAAGATATGCATGTCATATTACGAAGCCCCCCCCAAAACTAATCAACTGTTAATACTTCATTAGGTTCTTAGCTGAGGAAGCAGCAATCTTTTTTCAATGCTGGGGGAGAGACCGAGTAGAACTTATTGAAAGGCATGTTGCTTGCCAATGTACTCCCTCCCTTGGGGATCTTCAAGAAGCACACTGACTATGTGCGATTTTGCTTTATGTGCCAACCAGCAACAGATAAGATTTTATAAGACCTGAAACTCATAACGGTTTGGGCAGCCCCTTCTCAGAAAAAGTATGCAAAATTATCAATACAAAATCAGGTGAATGGGCAACCATTGAATTTTTGCCTCATTAACTTTATGGTAAATCTGCTGCTGGTGTGGACTCTATAATTTAACTCCACGTTAAGATGTCACAACACTGAACACACAGTAGCGCAGACTGGTGGCCTCAACGTAGGCACAAATGCACCACCGTCTTTCCAATGCATTTGCCGGCAGCTGCTGAGCGCCAGACTGTCCTGCCCCAGGCCCACACATCCCAACCCATCCCCGTCCTCTGTAGGTTACCCAGTGAAGGACAGCTCTCAACAGGCAGGAGGAAGGAGGTGTCCCTCACTATGCTCTGCTGTGAGTGATCAGGAAGCACAGCTGCCCCACGAGCCAAGCCCGAGGGCTGTGAATGCCTGGCGCTTGGGCCTGGGGGGACACCCCCATCCTTAAGAGTCCTGGAAGTTCCATTAGCCGAAGCCCCACAACCCTCACCCCCACCTCAGAGAGCATAGAGTGGGACCAGGACCTGTAGCACCCCAGGCCCCAGGCCCCAGCACCCCAGGTCAGGGAGACCCCGCTCTTACGGCGCACGCGCAGTCTGTCGCTGGAACCTGAGGTTTTCACTTCTTGGGTGACTGGGTTGTAGGCAGCGCACTTGTATGTCCCCTCGTCCTCCTGGCTGGCGTTCACTATCTGGAGGTTCCCAGATGGCATGATCAGGTAGTTATCTGAGGAAACAGGGAAGGGCCTAAAATACTACAGCCAGAGTTCCCACAATGGTGGGGAGGAGACAGGTAAGACAGAAGCCAGGAGCTGTGTACCCAGAGTTCCAAAAAGCCCACATTAGAAATGCGATTCTCCCCATAAAACCTCGCACCCAGTGTGACAGAAGTGCCAGGGAATGAAAACCACTAAAGAACCAGCTGGCTGACTGGCTCACTCCTCTCAGGTTAGTACACAGGTCTGTGGAAGAGCATTTTGTACTTTCAAGGGAGCTGGTAGGGTGATTTGGGGTCGGCCAGACCTGGGCTCAAGCTCTGGACCTGCCTGTACTTCCTGTATGATCTTGGGAAAGGTAATTAACCTCAGATTTTGTTTCCTTGTTTCTAAAATGTGTAACGTGTGCTGCCTCAGCCATTTTAAGGATCGAGAGGCCATGCTGCATACGTGGGAGAAGACATGAGATGATCATCCCCACAAGCCAACAGCGGGGAAGGAATTTGACTACAACTTCCCGTCAGTCTCTGTCACAGTCACAGCTTTGAGCCACCTCGCTACTGAATTTCTGCAACTAGGGAGGAATATCCTGACTCCCAACCACCACCCCCTTGCATGAAGGCCACTGAAGCCTTTTCCTCTGCATCACTGGCCTGCTAGGCTGTGTCTGCTTCTGGGCCAGGGGCACCAGGTAGTGGGGCCCAGGCCTGTGTTCAGTTTCTTTCCATAGGAGATAGAGTCACGCTGCTGGACACACCAGTGACTGGAATAGAGTCCAGCTTCCTGGCAGGCAAATCTCTGGCACACAGCTCTGAGCTTTCTGGTGGCCTGCTCTGGGCACAGTAGCGTCCCAGCACTCGGGGCTCACTAAGCCGGGTGCCTGCCTGTCCCTGGATGTGAGCTACTTAGGTAAACGCCAGATAGAATGAGAAAAGCCCTTGACCCTTATGGGATGAGCAGGCCTTCTCGAGGGGCTTACTCCAGGCTTCTGCTGGAAACAGTAGAGATCAGCGCTCTTTTCTCAGTGTCCAGTTATTTCTGAGAGGTGGGATTAGGGCTTTTACACTTTCAAAAAATAGTTTTATGTATTTTCTATAGCAAACATATATTCCTTTCATAACCAGAAAAAGTTAATAGAAATATTTAAAAACTTACAGGCTATTTAAAAGTACACATTTTGAGCTGTGGGGTTCAATCACTTGGGTCTACGCGGCCTTGAGTGCAGGGTCAGTTGTGGATAAAACATCCTCACTGGCACTTTGTGGACCAAAGCCTGGCCTCCCTCAGGTGGCTGCGTTGCCAGGAAAATGAGAAGAACTCAAGTTCCACTAAAAAGATGCTCTGCTGTGTGGGGACGAGCTCCACCCCCATGCTGCAGCTACAGGAGTGGGTTTATCGGGCAGCCTCTCTGTGTTCGCCTGGTGGCCGGAGCTCACGTGGGGAGGCAATCTGGGACCCTGTACTGAGAGCCCTGATCACGTGGCAGCAGCTCAGCGACATCTTCCAGGGCCTCAAAGGATAAAGAAAGTCCTCATGACAAGGCACAAGGCCTCCGTAACAAGCCAGTCCCCTTAGGATCCTCCAGGGCTAAACATCAAGGTCGAAGACAGCTGACCAGCATGAGGAAGCGTCTACTGGGTGTTGACGGGGGTTTGAGAAGCAGTGGTCAGGGGCGACCCGCTTCCCCCTACCCTTGGTCGCCTCTAGGCTCCTGCTTGCTCACCTCTGGATGCCTCCAACCACTCTTGTTTGACACTGTATCGGACCTGGGCTTTCGGGTGGCTCTCAGGAAGGTGGCAAGCAATGACCGCCGTGTTCCCTTCATCTACTTCAATTACGTGCTGCACATCTAACTTGAAGTCCTGGAGATCTGTGAAGAGACAGGAAGGTGCCGGTTGGACCTTGCTGGAGGAAACATTCCATTTTTCAGGGTGCTTTGTGTTTTGGTGTCTTTAGTCAAAACAAACAGCTGCAGAACCTCACAAACGGAGCCCTCTGGGTGTTCTCCAAGTCCTTCCTCTAGCCTTTTGTTGTCTATGGCAGTCTAAAGAATGGAATGTGTGGCCCTCAGTACTGCAAGGGAATTCTCCTTGGTATATATAGGCTGCAGGGTGGGGGCGGACATAGAGAATTCCATCAGGAGGTGCCTGTGATACAGACAGGCCTCTTTTGTTACACTGAGACCTGGGAGCAAGTTGACCAAGCCCACTGACCCTACAAAACCTGGTCAGGGTCAAGGCAAAAATGTCTCGGCATAGCTCAGCTAATGGAGACAGAAGGGAACAATAAAAGAGAATGATGGTATCTTCTGCAGTCCAATCAATAACAGCCTTCCCTGGGTCTGCTCAGGCATCCACAATGACAAGTGGCAGGGCCAGGATTTTGCTCAGTTACTAACCATGGTTATAACCAGAGGTGATTACTGCTACGCAGGAGCTATACCCTATATCATGGCTAGTATTTTCTTAGGGCTGGGGATCTGTGTATGCTCTAAGGATTTTCCAAGGCAAAGAGGGACCTTCCTGGTGTGGCTTCATGGCAGAGGTCTATGGGAGAGCTGAGGATCCTGACACCAGGCTGCTGCACAGTGGCCATCTTGGCAGGGTGGCAAGAAGACCGGGATCAAAACCAAGAAAAGGTGGATATCCATCTGGAACAAAAGCGGGACACTTCCCAACCAATCCAACAGTCCAAACTACAAAACTCTCTTTGTAGGAGCCGAATCACTGATACTGCTGAACAGAATGGGCCACTTGTGCAACAAAACCAGAGTAAGATAAGAGAGATAAAAATATTTACCCAGATGCTCTCTTCAAAATGATACTTAGAAAATACCCTAGAGGAAGCCTCACTGCATGCTGACCACACCAAATTCTGCTCAGCTCCTGAGAACTGATAACTATCAGAGTTTACCACTAGTCCACTGCAAGACCCCACCTGCCTGTGTTGTCGTTTCCACCGAAGACCCAGGGAAGGCAACAGGAGCAGTGGGGAGTCAGGTTTCTTACAGAAGAGATAATTACTAAAAACAAACTACTGTCACCAAAGGAGAGTCCAGTGACTGAGGCACTTAGTGAGGTCAGGAGGTCCCCACTTAATGGAACTTTCCAGAAGCTCTCAGTCAAGCCAGGGCAGGAGAGCTCTTCTGTTTCTCTGGAAGGATTGTTGTCCCTTTGATTACTATACCAGTCGTGAACTGTTTAGGGGCAGGAATCGAGTCTTCACATATATGTTTTCTGAACCTAACCCAGGCCTGACCCCAGTAGATGCCCAGTAAATGCTGAATGACTGAAAAAACTGCCTTGCAGCTGGCCCCTCAGTCAGGCACAAGGTGCCTTTTTATACTGCCCATGAACTCCAATTTCCTAGTTGAGTTGGTCTTCACTGTCAGCTCAAGGATAAGGGCCCAGCACAACAAATTTTCTATGAACATTTTATCTAAGTGTGGCTATTTTGAAAATAGAATGTTTCTTGAGAGGTTACTTAGAGGGTCACAGGAAAGGAATGTAGTAGGTCCAGCGTGTGTGGAGTAAGGAATACATGCTGTTCGTGGAGTGGTGTGGCGAAACGACGACAGATCGCCCAATTCATTTCTGTCACTCTTGTTTCACTTGCCAGGCCAACCAAGTGATGCCTGTGGCTCAAGGTGACACTCTCATGGATTGCTTCCTTTGGATGCGTGAGCTTCCTTACTTGCCACAGAACTTTGTGCTTTCTAAAAATGCCCATATTAGTTTAGGACCTTCTTGGCTTTTAAAGAATTATCTCATCATTACTTAATTTTGTGTGTGTGATAGCTGACCCTAACTAAATAATAAACTCCTAGTAAGCAGTCTATTTTACATTCTCCCCCTCCCCCTGCACAGTACTGAAGAAACAGTAAATGCTCTCTAAACCCTTGTTGAACACTTCAGAAGGCAAAGCCTAAGGCCAGCTTCACGAGCCTGCAACCTGCCCAGTTGCACAGAGCCCCGTGTTTGGAAGGGGTCAATGTCTGGTTTAATGGTCTGGTGTCACCATGTTGAAATTCGTAATAATGTTTAAACAAGGGACCCCCACATTTTCATTTTGCACTGGGCCACCCAAATTACAATACCAGTCACAGGTGAGCCTCTCAGCCAAGACACTGGATGCATTTTCTCTCAGGAAGATACTGATATGGGATCATATCCGTATCAGGAAGATATGGGCTCAATGTGTTCTAGTGAAATATGCAACTGTTTTTAAAAGCAATGCACTTAAACAATATAAAGGTCTTAATCCTTCTCAGCACAGTGCATGTGTACCTGCCAAGTCAAGAGACTCCCCACCAAGTGAGCTGTGAGCATTGTGAGCTCAGGGGCATCTGGAAATTCCTGCATCACTGAGAAGCACTCTCTTCAATGGTCTAACACACCTAAAAATACTCCACTAAGAATCCTGAGTTTTTTCTACCCTCCCCCATAGCTTTACCTCATTCCAAGAAAATTTCCCTCGAGCAAGAATATATTTAAACCTAGCAGATCATTTTGCAACAAAGATGTGAGCCACTGAAAGGAGTTTGGCGCCAGAAGGCCATCTCCATCTTAATGGCCGTGGGCTGCGGCCCCATTGTAATCGAGGGCTTATCCAGGCAGGGAGCATGCAGTCCTCCGTGCCCCCACCACACCCACCCCATCCTAGCAACACCATGCCCCGCTATGCCCCTCCCGCACCCTCTGACAGCGGCTGGGCCAGAGACAGAAGGCTGGGCAATGGGGGAGGCGCAAACCGGGGTGCCAGTCAGCCATGTGGCTAGACAGCCCCTCTGTTCGGATGCCAACACCTGTACAACAGCCCATGCAGGCAGGACCGAGGACACCCCAGCTGGGCAACCAGCTCCCCACAAGGGCTGACTGGCAGGCAAGGCTCCCTGGCTTCCAAACAAATAAGCTTGGCCCTGTCCCCTCCTTGTGCCTCCTAAACTTAAGCCTTAGCTGTTGCTTCACTAGACAAATTCCCAATTTGGCTGCTGGAGCAAAAGCCGAGTTTTACTAAGGGATCAAAGGCAAAGTAAAGCAGTGATGGACGATTTGAAAATGAGAGCACCCCTCTTCTAGTGTTTTTGGGCAGGAAGGAGACCAGGGATGGATGGAAGCTTAATGATCAATAACAGCCTCATCAGCAACCAGGCAGGGCAGGTGCAGAGGGATCCAGTTGGCTGCGAGTGAAGGAAAGCGGCCTGTTCCCAGGGCCCTTTGTCTGCAAAACTGGTTTCCTGGCCAGTCTCTGGGCTGCTCAGGGCGTCTCACTGGGAATCAGGGGCCGGCCCTTTAGTTACAAATGGGGTTAGCAGACCTTGATTCAGAAGGAAGGATCAGGTTTCACGGGGAAATGATTTGACAGGACACCTGTCCTTGCCTGCTGGCGGGTGTGTTTGAGAAATCCATTAGCGAATGTTTTTGCAGCTTTAATCCTCTTACCTTCCCTCGGACCCTCTTTTGCATCCTCTCTTTGTGTATTCTTCCAGCTATTTTATTAACTTGTCTGCAGTAATCAAATGCCAATAGGCCCACTTTTGTTTCCCAGCTCTAGGCAGGTCAGAAGCCCTGGTGGCCGGGGCCATCTCAGAGTTTACTGACCATCCTTACTCTACTTTCAACAGAACTTGGTGTGTCTGAGACAGCACACATTAATTTAGGTTCCAAACAGAACCCTGCTCAGTTCCTTGCCTTCTAAGTGCTCAGTTTCTTAAGGGAACATTTATCTTCTGATCCACCACTTCCGTAGGACCTTGGATACATACATCACAGGCATTCGTTCAGGCACAATCATGTTGATGTGCTCCGTGTTTCCTCTTCACATTTACAGGGTGCATCAGACATGCTGGCTGGGGCGAAGGGGGCACAAATAAGAGACATTTGGAGGCACACGGGTGTGGCTGCCATCCCCAGGATCACAGGAGGAACAACAATTGACAAGTTTTAGCATGAGTCCTTTTTGAATTTTTCTCATCACCTTCTAGGCTCAGTCCTTTATTTAATAAAAAGCTCAGCAGAGCTATGGGTTAAACTACAATATTTGGTGTACGCATTTGGTGTACGCATTCTCATAATGCAAAACTGTCAAATCTTAATTAGGCTCGGTGCCCTGATGTTCACAGAATTTGCGCACCCAATTACAGGGGCACTCTACCTCACCACACCTCAGTGGAAGTGCTCCAAGTGTAACCCTTCAACTTGACAATCACTTTCAATGCGTCCCCCTACTCCATCCTCTTCTTCCTGAGCCTTCACTTAGGCGGCAAATCGAAGTTCGATTCTGTTTAAGAAGTCAGGTAAAGTGGTGCCTTCGGCTGGAGGCTGCATGGAGTTCCCAGCACCCCCATTTCCATGAGCTGACTTGAAAAAACGGGCTTCTCCCCACCCAGGCATTTTTCATGTACAGTCAGCTCTGTCCTCCCCTCCTGCCTGTTCTCAGGACTCGTAAGACAAGCCTGCACTCATCTGCCGAGGCTTGGACGGGAGCCACCGGATTGTGGGGGCACCTCTGTGGGCTCCCTTGGCAATGTTGCCAGGAGGGCTCTGTAGCCTCGCGGCCATCGGCGAGTTTCTGGGCTGACTGATATTTCTATACTCCCTACCTCTCATGGCCTCCAGGCCTCAACTTGTCCCTGTGGCGGCTTGTGCCTCTGTGGCTAATGTTACAATGCACAAAAAGGTTTTGCTCTAACAGAGCATTCCATGGCATGCCGAACCCGTGGCTCTTTCCCACACCTTAGTCACTTCTTGAAAGGTAGAAAAACGCAAGGGAAGCAAAGCTCCTAAGAGCTGTCTCCGGCAGAGCCCACGGCTCACTGCTCTACAGAAGGGCTTGGAGGTGGCGTCGGAGAAGGTGAAGGGCCCTTGGCAC